TCCGCCGGTCCCCCCCCCACGACTCTCAAGCACTCAAACCCCCTCCCCCTCCCACCCCCCCTCCCCACACAGCGAGCAGCGGGCGGGGCGGGACCTGGCCAGCATCGAGGCCATGAGCGCCTTTGTGGAGAACCTGGGGTCTCTCTCGCACCAGCAGGGCGTGGCATACAAGCACGTGACGCTGATGGGCGAGCTGAGCGCCGCGGTGGAGGCGCGCGGGCTCATGGCGGTGTCCGAGGTCGAGCAGGAGCTGGCCTGCGCCGGCGCGGCGCTGGGCGCGCACGCCGAGGCCGTGCGCCGCGCGGTCGGCGACCCCGCCCACGCGCCCGACGACTGGCTGCGCCTGGCTGCGCTGTTCGCGCTGCGCTACGAGCGCGACGGCGGGCCGCAGGCCGCGGCGCTGGCGCAGCAGCTGCGCGAGGCGGGGGTGCCGCGCGAGCGCGTCGCGCTGCTGGGCACGCTGCTGGCGCGCTGCGGCGCCAAGGAGCGCGTGTCCGACCTGTTCCAGGACCGCACGTTGTCCTCACGCTTTGCGGTGCTCGCCAAGCAGCACATCAAGGTGTGTGGTGGGGGTTGGGTGGTTGGGTGGGGGAGGAGAGTGTCGACGGGGGGCAGGGGGTTGCCCAGGCAGGGCAGAGGGGGGTGGCATGGGAGCCGCACGGATGGGGCTGTCGATTGTGCGTATGACGGGCCCACCTGCGCGTGGGAGCAGGAGGGGTATGACAGATGCCGGTGGGGGGCCCTTGTGCCAGTCGTGGCACATTAAGCATGGTGGCAAGACCCCCTGTCCACCCCCGGCCCGTACCTTGCTTTGCAACCCCAGCTGTCCCCCAGCTGCCATACCACCCCCGCACCCCCTCTCCCCCCTCTCAAAGGGCGTGGAGAATGTGTACACGCAGCATGTGCCGCCGCTGGTGGGCACCCTGGAGCGGCTGGCCAAGGGCAAGCTGTCGGAGGCGGAGTACCCCGCCGCGGACCGCGCAGCGGGGGCTGGGCCGCCGCCGCCGCCGCCGCGCCTCATCGTGGCCTTCGTCGTGGGCGGGACCACGTACGAGGAGGCGGCCGCCGTGGCGGGGCTCAACGCGGCGGCGGCGAAGGGGGAGGGGCCGCTGCCGCCGGGGACCAGAGTGCTCCTGGGCGGCACTGGGGTGCAGAACAGCAGCTCCTTCCTGCGGGACCTGGCGGAGGTGGCGGCCGCCACGCCCGCGCCGCAGGGCAGGCTGGGGCTTCGATGATGCGTCAGCCGACCGTGCTGAGATTTTGTGTCCCGAGGTCCGTTGCTCGAGGGCACAGGCCCTGGGAGAATGGGCACAAGGAGACGCCCGTTACTTCCCACCTGGTGCTCACCCCCCCCCTACCCCCTTCCTCCCTCGTCGCGCGCGATGTCGAGCTTGCGACCAGTGCCCTCTGAGCCTTCCCTGAACGCCATGATGTAGCCACCCTCTATCCCCGAGAATATTATATCGCTATTTAAACAAAGGTGTCCTCCTGAGACTGCGCAGCCTTGACACAGCTCAGGCGCTGACCACGGGCCAGCCTCCCGAGACCGCCCCGGCCCCACCCCCGCGTGCCACGGTCATCCAGGCCCCCGACCGACCCCTGAAGCGCGATCATATACCGGTATCCCTCAATCTTGTTCCTTGCAAAGTTGTAGGGCGTCTGCTGTCGATCCAGGCTCCGACATGGCTGAGGCAGGGCCCAGCGGCCGGACACCGGTCGTGGAGGCCTTGCGCGACACCCCCACTGTTCTTCAGGGTGGGACTGGGAACCTGGCGGCGGCCTGGTGGGTTGGGGATAGCTCTCCAGGTCCATCATGGATCGATGAGACCGGGTTCCATGCATCATGCACCCCACCCCAACAGGAGCTCATGGCTGGAAGCCTGGCCGGCATCACCGGGAAGACGTGCGTGGCACCCCTGGAGCGCGCCAAGATCCTGTTCCAGGTCCGCCCAGCGTCGAGGCGGAGGGCGGTGTGTTTTGGGAATCGCTTGGCAGTGTGGCCCCCTTGTGTGACCAGTTCCTGCATGAGCTCCCACCCCCCGCATGCCAGCCTCAGAGGCACTTCACTCCCACTCCAACACGCGCAGACGGGTCGCCTGACCTCGGGCAGCCTGGCTGCAACCCTGGCCGCCATCTACCGGCACGAGGGTTTCTCGGGCCTGTTCAGGTATGCTGGCGCGCCGGGGCCCATGCATATAATGCCGGGACGGTGTGCGCAGCTTCCCGCCAACCGCTTCCCTCCGACACGCAAGACTCCTCCAAACCGCAGGGGGAACGGCGCGAGCGTGCTGCGCATCGTGCCCTACTCCGCCATCCACTTCACGGCCTACGAGCACTACCGCCGCCTGCTGGTGGAGCACGTGATGGCGGCCGGGCCGCCGGGGCGCAGCGTGCCGCCCGTCTGGGACCTGGCGGCCGGCGCCGGCGCCGGCGCCAGCGCCGTCCTGGTCACCTACCCGCTGGACCTGGTGCGGACACGGCTGGCCTACACCAGCGAGGCGGCCGGCGAGGCCCCGCGGCCCCGGTACCTGAACGCCCCCGGGGGACCGTCGGCCGGGCCTGGGGCGCAGAACCCGGCGGCACCCTGGGCAGCAGCGACTCCCTCGGCCGCCCCGACGGCGTCCACGGCGGCAACCCCCGCCGCACCCAGCCAGACACTTCCACCGAAAGCCCCTCCCGCCCGGGCGCGGCTGGGCATCGGCGCCATGCTGGCGACCACGCTGCGGCACGAGGGCCTGCGCGGCGCCTACCACGGCGTGGGCGCCTCCATGTACGGCATCCTGCCCTACGCCGGGCTCAAGTTTTACGTGTACCAGAGCCTGAAGCAGCAGTACCACCACCGGGCCGCCGGCGGCAGTACTGCCGCCGGCGACGGTACTGCCGCCGGCTCTACGCCCAACCCAGGGGCCGCCCACCCGCGCCTCCCCGTCCCCGTCATGCTCACGTTTGGCGGGCTGGCGGGGCTGGTGGCGCAGACGGCGACCTACCCCTTTGATGTTGTGCGGCGGCGCATGCAGGTGGAGGCGCTGCAGCTGGAAAGCCTGCACGCGGGCATGACGGGGCGGCTGTCCACGGGAGGCCTGGCTCTGCGCTCCACGCCGCAGGCCCTTCTGCTCATCGCGCGCGTGCAGGGCTGGCGCACGCTGTTCGTGGGGCTGAGCATCAACTACCTCAAGGTATCCTTTTGGGGGGGAGTGTGTGTGGTGGGGGGGGGGGGGTCAGGATGAGGTACAGGCAGGTAACCCGGGGGTGGGAATCGCCCCAGGCGCTGTGCGGGGGATGGCATCTGGTCGGATGGCAAGCTACCACGGCCAGGATGGGCATGCGTTCCCTGGGCCCGGTCAGCACTGCTCGGCAGGGACTGGCAAGCCGCTGCCGTTTCGTTTGGTGACTTCACTGGACTCCTGGTGCCAACTTTTCTCCGAAATGCCGCGACCCAGCGCATTCCGTCGTTGCCCCCAGGGTCCAATCCCACAAACAACCTGGCCCCAACTACCACTGCCAACACAGGTCGTCCCCTCCACCGCCATCGGCTTCACGGTGTACGACCACATGAAACACCTTCTGGCTCTTCCTTCCAACCTCTGATGCTGGGCTGCTGGTCCAGCCATGTACCCCCTGATTGGTTGCACACACGAGTTACAGCAGGGTACAGTGGCAGAGGCACAAGAGGGGTGGTGTAGGAAGCGAGTTCGACAGGCTGGCCAGGTGGCAGAGACTCGAGCCAGAGCGTGGCAGGTGCTGAGCAGCGGGGAAGGGCCCTTGGGCAGCGCGACACAGTGTATGGGGTGGTTCTTGAGTGCTCGACCGGGACAGGGTGGTCTGCGAGCCCAACCCCCCATCGGCCACCTCCAGTACCTTGCGCATCAAAAGGGAAGTGCCGCAAGCAAGCTTGGGGCTGGGGCCGGGGTCGGGGAGCCTGCCCTTCCAGCGGATTCCCAGTGGCCAGGCCGGCATCAGCAGCCGACTACCAGGGTCACGGGAGGCAACGTACACGCCATTCAGCGGATCACTGCACGCTGCAGCACCCGCCCTTGGCAGAGGCGACGTAGTCGGCATCAGAGAAAGTGGTGCCTTGGCTAAAGTGTGAGTCGCGCTCCTTGCCCTTGCCGTAGCCCTTCCCCTCCAGCCGGCCTGCAGAAGTCCCATTGAGGGGACCCGCGCCCCGCTCCTGCACGCGCTGCGAGCCATTGCCCTGTGCGGGAGCCCATCCGGCTGGGGCCTCCTGTTGGTGGTGGGGAAAGTCGAAGGGCGAGGGGGCCTGGGGCAGCGCCGAGTACGACAGGGGCACGCGAGCCAGCTCAGCCCCTGATGAGTGCGACCGGAGGGAGGTGGAGGAGGTGGTCGAGGGCATGGTGTGGCGCGAGGCTGGCCCGCGCGACGCTGGCTCCTTCCCAGAGCCGCTGTCAGGCTTGGCTGGGGCTTCGGGGGCCCTGCGGACCAAGGGGTCCGCCTCAGCTCTCGGGCTATGCTGTGCAGCCGATTGAGCAGCAGGTATCGCAATGTCCGGCATGGGGTGCCCCGCCCCGATGGCCTGAGCCTGTGGAAGATGTGGGGAAGCTCAGATACGTAGTCCGAGAGAGGTGCTCCACAGTGCGGCCAGCCCGCCACTATCCCTTTCGTATGCTCACTTAGGAGTTTTAAATGCTATGAAATACGATACAGTGGCTTACGAATGAGGACCCAGCCTACTATATCCGGACAGGGGAACAACTGGCAGGAGGGTTACGGGGCCAGAAACGGATGCGCGGATTTCGGCAGTACGCGGGACCGCCTGTCGAGGTGATCAACATGCAGGAAGCAGAATCATCACAGGGTTTAGGTGCTCGCCCCGACATGAGACGTTAATCCCAGGCTCCGCGCCCTGCCCCGTGAACGGCTCCCGGAGAAAATTTGGGCGCGCGCACACTGTTCACTATAGTGTGGGCGTGATACTACAATACAGGGAGGCATGCGGAGGGCGGAGGGCACGGCACCCGGGGGCCACAGGCATTGACGGACAGATGCACTGATTGCTCTTTATCCTAAGAATACAGGACGGGGCGACCTGCTCTGCTCACTCAAAGGTGAGCTTCTCCGCCTCCTCGCGCAGCGCGGCAAAGAGAGGGGTGGAGAGGTAGCGCTCGCCATAGGAGGGGACGATGACCACGATGGTCTTGCCCTCGAACTCGGGGCGCTTGGCAAGCTGCCCGGGACAAGGGTGGTGGGAGGGGTGAGTGGGAGGGTTGGGCGGGGGGACAAAGCCTCCGAGACCCGAAGACATTGGCATGGTACAGAGCTACACCGGCCCGCGACACGCGGCGCATTCCTGCCTCCCCTTCTCCCTCATATACACACCGTGAGGGCAGCCTGGACTGCAGCGCCGGAGGAGATGCCCACGAAGATGCCCTCCTCGGTGGCCAGGCGGCGGGAGATGGCGATGGAGTCCTCGCTGCTCACCTGCGCGATGATGTATTACAGGTCGGGGGGAAGTGCGAGCGTCAGTGGACCGGTGAATGCATGGTGTTTCTTTCCCTTTTAGAGGGGGGGGGGGGTGGGCTGCGGCCCCTGGAAGCAGACGATGCAGGATGCATGGTGAGCATCCCTCCGCGCTCTCCACCCCCCAAACTCCACCTCTGCATGGCGCCCCTCCCTTCCACAACCACACCTCCCCCACCACACCTTCTCCACGCCGTCCAGGATGGGGACGTCCAGGTTCTTCGGGATGAACCCGGCGCCGATGCCCTGGATCTTGTGCGGGCCTGGGGAGCCACCCGAGATGACGGGGGACTCGGTGGGCTCCACGGCGAATACCTTCAGCCCCGGGTTCTTCTCCTTCAGGAAGCGCCCCGCCCCCGACACAGTGCCGCCGGTGCCCACCCCCGCGACGAAGACGTCGACGTCGCCGCCAGCGTCCCGCCAGATCTCGGGCCCCGTGGTCTCATAGTGGACCTTCGGGTTGGCGGGGTTCTCGAACTGTTGCAGGATGTAGGAGTCGGGCGTGGCCGCCGCGATCTCCTCTGCCTTCAGCAGCGCGCCCTTCATGCCCTTGGCCGGGTCGGTGAGCACCAGGTGCGCGCCAAAGGCGCGCAGCACGATGCGCCGCTCCAGCGACATGGTGGCGGGCATGGTCAGGATGAGCTTGTACCCGCGGGCAGCGGCCACGAAGGCCAACGCAATGCCCGTGTTCCCCGACGTCGGCTCCACCAGCGTGGTCTTGCCGGGGGCGATGCGCCCCGCGCGCTCCGCGTCCTCCACCATGGCCAGGCCGATGCGGTCCTTGACCGAGGAGTTGGGCTCCATTGACTCCAGCTTGAGCAGGATGGTGGCCTTGGCGCCCTCCGCCTCCGCGATGCGGTTCAGGCGCACCAGGGGGGTGTTGCCTGTGGGAGTGGGCCGTGAGGATGGGTGTGCATCGGCACCCTGCGGCGAGAGAGGGCGGGTGGCGCCAGGGCCTCCGGGCACATGCCGTCATGTGGCTCGGTCGCGTGGCGCCCACATGACGGGGGGGACGGGCTCGCGCCGGCCGTGACCGGGGACTCACCGATGAGCTGGGTGACGTTGCTGGCCACACCGTGTTTCTTGGCCGGCACCGCCGCGGTGTCGGTGGCGCCCAGGTTCCTGGATGGCTTGTTCTCCAGAACAGTCACGAGGGGGTCGGCAGGCGCCCCGGCCTTCTTACTGCACGGGAAATTCATCAAAGGCCATGAGATCCTCATCGCATTGGCACGAACACCGGTCGCATTCCGGCATCGCGAGTTTCCCACCACCCATCGCGCGGACGAAGTCGCACCTGTGTGATCCGCCCATAGTGCCGGTTCGCCAATGTGCGCTTGGACACGAGCGAAAGAATGTTTCAGTGGGTTTATTGCAGGGTCTGGTCGGAACGAGGGGTAGATCTCGTGGGATTGGGAGGTACGTCCCCATTTTGCTGGCACAGGCTTCGCTCGCTCCTGAAGCGAGAAATCTCCGACTTGGCGCGCGCTACATGAAACATGTCGGGGGAGTCAGCTGGAACGGCAGCAGTGATTATCTGTACAACCATCTCGCGACTGATTTATGTTTAAGTACCTTCCAAATTAGGATATGGTAAGGGTACGGGCCGTCTTCCTAGGTGAGCGACTCCGCTGGCTCAAGCACCTGCCGTCGGTGACTGGGTACCTGAATGCAGTGTTAGATCCGGACCCATCCCTAAACTGCAGACCTTGATGACACCCTGGTACTTACATCCAAGGGTGATGTGAGGGCCTTGGAGGAAGTGGCCCAGGCAGCGTCGCAGCACTGTCCAGCGGTGGACCCGACGAAGTTGCTGGCTGACTGGCGCCAGCTCTTCAAGGAGGCGCCCTGGGATCCGACACACCAGGTGGGTGCACGGGGGGGGTGGTATTGGATAGTATAGCGTCCCTGGCCAGCCCCGGCCTGTGTGCTGACAGCGGCCTCCCCCTCAAGCCCCTGCCACCCGGGGCTGCGCCAGCACAGCAAACCCAAAACAGAGCTCCCCAGGTTTCGCTGCTTCAAGACTCTAGCAGTGGAAAGTATTATGGGCCATACATGAGTGCGAATCATGCCATTTGGTGTGGCTCCCGCCAGTATCGCATGCCGATTTGTGCCCCCCTGCGGATGAACTAGTTCTCTTGAGTTGAATGGTGATCTTGCCGCCCCATAGCACCTCTGTGGTCAGATAATTGTTTGCCGCCGTACAGACCCCGAATTCAACCTTCCTCCGCCCCCTATGGGTCAGGTGGATGTCGAAGAGTGGCGGACAGGCCTGTGGCTCCAGGCCCTGCAAGCCCAGCCCTCAGTGGTGCTGGAGGAAGCCGCTGCCACGGCGGCCGCCCTCCAGCGACGCTTCTGCACCAGCAGGATAGAGGCCTTTCGCTTCCTACCCGCTGTGGCGTCGATGCTGGGCACGCTGCGGTCCAGCTGCCTCACCACCGTCATCATCACCAATGGCCACTCTGACGTCCAGGCGTCCAAGCTGGAGGCCTGCGGCGCCCGCAACCTGGTGGATTATGTCATCATCGGGGGTGACGAGGTGGCGGCCGGGCGATACGAGAAGCCGCACCGCTCGATCTATGACAGGTGGGAACGCTGAGGGGTGGGTGGGCCTGGAGAGTGCCACCCACGCGTAGGGGTGCCCAGGGTCTGGTTGCCGAGTGCATCAACCTGGCGGGCTTCCTACAAGCCAGACTGCCCTCCAGAGTTGCCCGCTGCACCGCTGAGTGTATGGGCCCAGGCGCACACACCTTCCCTGAATTGCACTCAACATGACGATCACTCCTGCTTTCCCTCGCTCACCCCAACACCACAGAGCCTGCCAGCTGGCGGGCTGCACCCCCGATCAGGCCATCATGGTGGGCGACAACTACATCTGCGATGTGGTTGGGGGTCAGGAGGCTGGCCTTCTTGCCACAGTGTGGATCAATGAAACCGGCAAGGCGGTGCCTGAAGGCGCAGCCGTGATGCCCACGTTCACCGTGTCCAGTGTCGTAGAGCTCCCCGCCCTGATTGATCAGCTCAATGCCGGCCCGCCGCGGTGACATGTGGGCAAACGGTGCCATCCCAGAGACACTCGTCGACACCCCACAATCCAGAACTGCATGTATAATTCTGTCCCTTGCACCGTGGCAACTTTGCCTCGCTCTTTCTTGGGTCGATCTGAGGCCTCACTTTGGCACCCGTAGTGGCGCTGCCGCCGAGTCTCATCCCAGCAATGTGCAATACCATTCTTTGGCATAGTGAATAATGCAGTACATCCTGCTGATGATGGTGGCACCCTTAGCTTTAGATTGAGAACCTCTGCCTCCCACGAGCAAGCAGCTGCTGCCATGGTGGCCGTCCCTCACGTGATGATGTCATGCCGAGCGCCGATCTGAGATTCCAGATGATGTGACGCTTCAACACAGCAGCTGTATCAATCAGAGCCGGCGTTTAAAGGCACGATTAGCCTTGCCAGTTGAGCCGACACTGTGTTCCCCTTATACCCTCAGAGCCTGCCGAGGTCACGTCGCACCTCGGTGCCGTCCGTGAAGGGCAGGCAGGGCTGATCCTCGCACACATGGCTCCACAAGTCCATTCGAATGGCTCTATCGAGCTAGACCACGAGGAAGAGGCCCTGGCTCGCCTGCACCTGGTGAGTGTGCGGTCCTTGGCGGGTGGCACGACCTCTGTGCCAGCGAGGGGTCTTCGGGATGGGCATCTACTTGAAGCAACGAGTATGACGCCAGACCTCTTCCATCTACTCCACACAGGATGATGCGCACACAGAGCTGAGGGCGAACAGCAGTGGCAAGGGGGGCTACCGGTATGAGTCGCCCGAGGAGGTGAAGGCCATGAAAGCCCAGCGTGCCGCGGTGTGGCAGTGGCTGAAGGGCATCGGCGTGCACATGCTCAAGGACGGCCTGAGTCTGACGAACATCTCTATGCCAGTCACCCTCTTCGAGCCACGGAGCTGGCTGGAGCGCATGTGTGACAAGTGTGCAGAAATGGGGGGTGGTGTGGGAGGGGTCCAGGGCTGATGCCAGCGAGGACCCCCAGCCTCCATGCATGGAGCAGAGTGCTGCATGCAAAGCATGATTGAGAAGGTGGGAATGCGGCTCGTGCTGAACGCTGCCTCCTCCCCGGTGCGCTAGCTGGAGCTACCTGCAGCTGCTGGAGCTGGCCGCCGATGCGAAAGACCCGGTGGACCGGCTGAAGCTGGTCGTCGCCTTTGCCATCTCGGGCCTGCGCCAGCAGATATCTTTTGGTGGGTGTCGGGGTCACATGAGCTCGGGACCGCTGGCGCCGGGAGGCGCGACGCGCCGTCGGCCACACTGGGCTCCCTGTCGCCGCGCCGGCACGATGTCCCCTGCCGCCTTTGTCAGGCATGGCCGCCACGGCCGTCGCCCCACCTGTCCTACCCACCTGCTCCCCTCCATGCACCCGCCACAGGCAAGCCTTTCAACCCCATCCTGGGCGAGACCTTCCAGGGGGCCTACCCCAACGGCACACAGGTGTACATCGAGCAGATCGCACACCACCCCCCAATCTCCTCCTGGCAGGTCTACGACCATGACGCCCGGGTGAGGGCGGTGGTGTGGGCCTGAGAGGTCGAGTCCATGGTGCTGGCAGCATGCCCGGCCCCGGCTTGGCCCCAGTATGAAGAGGCTGCACCCTTGCGAAGGACCCTCCCAGTGAAGGTGGTCACTGCTTCCGCAACCCACCCCCAACCCCCCCTCCGCCCCCCAAAGTACCACTTCTTCGGCAACGGGACGTGGGCGGCCTCGGCGCGGGGCAACAGCGTGAAGGGCCAGCAGACGGGGGCCAACACCGTGCGCTTCTCCCACGACGACGCGGAGGTCAGCTGGGAGATGCCGTACCTGACCATCCGCGGCGTGCTGTTCGGGGAGCGGTACCTCAAGTACGGCGGCAGCATGCGCTTCCAGGACGCGGCCCACGGGCTGACCTGCGACGTGGACATCGACACGGAGGGGCCGGGCTTCTTCCGCTCCTTCTTCCGGCGCAAGAAGGCGCACGCCCAGGACGCGGTGCACGGGGTGCTGCGAGGAAAGGACGGCGAGGAGCTGGACGTGCTGACAGGGTCCTGGCTGAGCCACCTGGAGTGGGAGAAGGGGGTGAGTGTGGACAAGGGGGGGGGGGGGTTGGAGTAGGGGGTGTCCCCTCGGCACCCCTGTGGGCGGGCGGGCGAGGGAGTGGAGGGTTGTATGCCCCGAGTGGCCTCCCCTCCGATTGCCCGTGGAGCTGTGGCGCGGCCTGACCCCCGCCGTCCTGGATCGACGCGCCAGGTGTGCAACGGGAAGCTGCACACGGTGTGGGACGCGGTGAAGACGCCGGTGGACCGAGCGATCGCGGAGCGGGAGGCTCTGCCCTCGGACTGCAGGTGTGCCACTGTCCCTTCCTGTTTTTGTTTTTCTCCTTGGGGAGGGGGGGGGCCTGGCTGTGCACAGACTTGCCAGCTTGTGTCGAGCATGCGAGGCCACCTCTATCCCGCCTAATTTTCCAAGTACAGAGTGATTCACATTAAACGCCACACCCTCGCACCTGCAGGTTCCGGAACGACCTAGTGCAGCTGAAGACCGGCACTCTGGACGCCGCCCAGCGCGCCAAGGTGGAGCTGGAGCAGGTGCAGCGAGCGGACCGGCGCCTGCGCTCGGAGGGCCTGAAGCGGGCCTCGGCGTGATGGGGTGGCCTGGAGGGGCTCGCGGGCAGCCTCTCCCCACCGTGACTTCCAAAAGCACTGTGTCGTGCAGAGTAGGCTCACGCCAGCCGAGGGCGTCAGACCCTGGGAAGCATCGAATAATTCTTGAAAGAAATCCAGCTCACCCTGCAGCATCCAGACGGAACGCTCCGTAAGCGCACACATGCCACCCCTTCTGGTCTGTGCGCTGGTCCAGCACCCTCCCTGCTATTGATATGTCTACAACGTCCCATGCAAGAGCTCACGCGATATCAGCTGGCAGGGTGACAGGGGGTCTGAATGAATGGGGAGGCCACCATACAGGGGCGGCACCAAAGGGTACACAGAATATACAGGGCGGCATGAGGGAGGCGTCGGCGCGTCCTCCTGAGCCGGCCATGCATTGTCGGATCATACAAGCGAGGGCTGGCGCGACAGGGGTGTCATGGGCGTCGCCACCAACTTCAGTTGCGAAGGTTTTCCTGCCAGATCCTGGCCGCCCTTTCCAGCAGCTCGCTGCCGAGCACACTCTGGCGCAGCTCTGGCGGCGGGAAGGGCGCGTGCCCTGTCTCGAAAAACACCTGATTGTTGAGAAGGAGGGCAGGTTGACAACCGATCGAAGAAGGGCCTAAGAGCGGGCCAACCAGGAGGGCCCGGGCCTCTGCCGTGCGGTGAGCAGCCTCTCAGCCTGCAGGGACCCCTGCCCTGGACCGTTGCGCAGACACCCACCTCCAGATTGTCCTGCAGCTTGTGCACGCCCTGGCAGCCAGCACACCGCGCAAAGACGGAGCCGGCGTGCCAGGCGTGGGGGTTGACGCGCTTGGTATTCTGTGTGCCGCAGAGGTTGCATGTGAACCTCACCTGCAGGAGGGTGTTGCGAGTGGAAAGGGCAGATGGCGAGGCAGTTGGCCATGCAAAATGCACGGCCCGGGGATTGGTGAATCGGAGACTTGGTGAAGGGCCAGATCCTTCCTCGGAAGATCCTAGCCCTGGCACCCCGGGCCGGCCAGCAAGGACTCAGGGTTCCAGTCCACTGCTTGCAGGCACGCACCTTGCGGGTGCGCCGGGCGTGGTTTGTGGCCGCCGCATCTCCCTCACTGCTACCCTCGGTCCGAACCCAGACCAGGCCGGTGGAGGTGGGGCTTGCAAGCGCCTGGGCCTCCACGTCGATGACGATCCCTCCATCCACCAGGCTCCGCCCTGCCAGCCAAAAGGAGGGCCTGGGTCTCGGTCGGGCCACCGGGCCTGCCCTGCTGACGGGCGTGAGGGCGGAGGATGCGGCCTGGGGCTGGGCATCAGGCGTGGGGGGACGGAACAGGACGAACTGGTCCCCGAACACGATGCCTTTGGCGGGGTCGGTCTGCCGGGTCCACCAGACACCTCCTCCAGGAAGCCGGAATGCGTTCTCGCATCGGCATGGAGCGCACAAGTGGCGGGCCGGGGCGCGGTTCCTCCTGCTCTGCGTGACCCCTCTCTTCGGTGCGAGGCTCGCTTGCGCTGATGGAGGACAAACTGACATCGTTGCTAAGGATAAATTCTTACGCTATTGCTGCAACGATGGCTTGCAAGGGAGTTCCCTCCGCAAGAGAACCAAACGTCTCGGGAGCTGTCGGTGATTCTGCTCATTGGTTCGCGCCTCACGTCTGGTTGCAAAGGATCTCAACCGGATGCACTTCAATCAGAGGTGCAGCAGGCCAGGCACTCCGTCTCAAATATCGAGGGTAGGGTACCTACAGATAGGGCCAACCGTGGAAATCAGTCAGCCTCGCAGCGACTGACTGTTTCAGATCGAGAACCTGCCAGCAGCCACACAAACACTCCCAACATGCCTGTGTGACCCTCTCCATGGGAACACGCATGCCTCGCGCATGCCCTCACCCTGGGATCTTCGTCACATCCACCGCTGCCAGGAAGCCTGCCCTTCGGATGGACTCCATTCCCAAGGGGGCATCCTCGTACCCCACACAGTCGGCCGGGTCGACTCCCAGCAGCGCTGCGGCCTTGAGGTAGGTCTCCGGGTGCGGCTTGCCGTGGGTCACGTCGGTGCAGGTCACCACCGCCTTGAAGTTGGAGGTGTTGTCTGGGGTCCAGAGGCCTGACTTGGCCAGGGAGGGGTACACCTGGAACCGGTCCCCGCCCGTGGCTATCGCACAGGGCAGCCCTGGTTTGCGGTGAGGACGGGCTTGATCATGTGTTGGCCCCCTGATTTGCCGCAAGACCATCTCCAGAGAAAACGACGGGGGATGGAAAGCAGGAGCATGGAGCGACAGACGTCGTACATCGACAGGCCTTGTGATCCAGGCGGGAGGACGTCGGGTGGCGACCTCTCCAGCACCTCACCGCCCGCCCCATGACCCCCAACCCCACCCACTCACCCCTGGCGAGGGCAGCCTGCAGGATCTCTACGACCGGCTTCACCAGCTTGGTGTCGTCGGCAACCTCATGGTACCTGGCGTTCTTCAGCTCAACCGCAGCAGGGATGTCGATCGTCTTGCTCTGTGGAGGGAGCAGGGGTTAGGGGAGGCAGGGGGGGTTGACAGAGCTTGGTTGCTGAAGGGGTGGCGGCCTGGTTGCATGGAAAGGGTCTGGCGAGTGCAGGACTGGAGGAGCAATACATCGACAGCCGGCAGCCGCACATAGGGAGCACAAAGAGCACCAGGCTGGGGGATGACCCAGCCCGTTGTCGGCAAATTTGTACCCTCATCGAATTGCCATCCCTCCAACCCCAACCCCCTCGTCTGCCTCACCTGCTCCTCACAGAGGCTGGCAAAGATGCCGGAGGTGGGCCGCCCAGCAAATCCCAGGAATTGCTCGGGGGTTATGGTCAGGCCAAGCTCACGGGTCACATCGGTCCAAGCCCGCCAGTGGGCCGACATGGTGTCCATCACCTAATCAGCGAGGTTATGGTGAGGTGACAGCGGTGTCATGCATCCGACCATTGCAGGGAGGGGGGGTAGCAAGAATTAGCAGCAAAGGCTTCCACGCACATGGCCATGAAGTTTTGGGCTGAAGTTGGACACCCACGCCCAGGGGCAACTGGGGGGCAGCCGAGCGCCGGGGACCCCGGTTGACCAGCTCCCTACCCCTCATCAAACCTGCCCCACGGCACCCACTCACTGTGCCATCCAAGTCAAAGACCAGGCCTGCACAGCGTGGGTGGGTGGCCATCACGCATCAGCTCGGGTTCCTGAAGCCACAATCACGACAGCACCAAACCCTTTGAAGGTGAGCGGCACCGCTATTTGATGCCCGCGCACCCACCCTTTGCGGCTGCAGGGAGATACTCCTCGGGAATTTGGGAAGCCATGACGGAGACTGATCTGCGCCTGACACGAAGTTGTAGCTCGGGGTTTTGCCGTCGGCAGGCGTTGCGGGGAGCGCCGAACGTGGCGTGCGTGGGCCTAGCTAAGACCGTGCCGGACACAGTGGACAGTACGAAGCTGTGGCAACTCGAGAATCCCATGCGCCACTTTCCTAGTTTGAAAGCGACTTCTCAATCTCTACGCCAGAACAAGTCAATGTACTGGGTGGAAGGGGTGGCGTGGTAAGGAGGACGCTCTGAGCTACATCGAAGCACGTGAGGGTTTTTCCGCCGTCACAGGTTAAGCAATGATTCACCCATTAATAATCCCTCCTCCTACTATCCTTTTCCAACAAAGCTTCAACTATGGGAATGGATACGATGAAGGAATCTAATCCTTACAAAGAATTGCAGCTTTTGAGTGCATGCTCGTGGGCAAAAGTTGCTAGGCTACATTATTGAATATGGAACAATCAGATGCTGCCGAAGAGCGCTCCCTGGCGAACCACCTCCAGTGCCAGGAGACTCGCAAATCCGATCATGGCAGCCCTTCCATTCAGCTTCTCGGCGACCACGGTGAAGATGCCGAAGTCCTCGTACACGGCTCCCTTGAGGATGGGCACGAGGCTGGCGTAGATGATGGCGAGGAAGGACACAGCGATCAGGGGGTTGGGGTGCTGCGCCTGCCAGATGATGCCATGCCCGCTCCTCAGCTCTTCCAAGACTCCGGTGATGACTGCGAGCATGGCCAGCCTGCCGTTAATGCGCTCGGGGGCAGGCCCATCAAACCTCATAGCCTCTGGAGAGGGGTATCGGGTGGTGGATATGAGTGACAGAAGGAACGGCTGACATTTCAAGCCCTGATTTCATACCAGCCAGAAAAACAATTGCCCCATCACCGCCCCTGCCCCCCCCGTACTCACCCCACAGAGACTTCTTGTTCGAGGGCTTAGTCTCCGGCAGGGGAAGCTTCGACTCATTGGGGTCCAGGGGAGCGAGAGGGGTGGTGGACGTCGGGGCCGTCGGTCTCACGATGGGCACGTCTTTGACGGCCTGCGTCGCGACTGAGTCTTTGCTGGCCGGCTTCTGCCCCTTGGGGAACTGGTTGTTGGAAACACACACACAGACTCCACGAAGGGTTGACACGGGCCTCGATACCCCAGATCTACCGGTCAAGGGAAGGGACCGAGATGCACTCCATGAGTGGGTGGTGGGGGTAATAGTTGCAAACATGTTGGGAGGAGGTTGCGGCCGGTCACGAACGAGGTTATAGAAAATTAAATTAATGAAATTGTGAAGGACCCCTGCTATTTATGTGGCTTGAAGCTAACTTCCTTCGCGGCACTCGCGGTATGCCTGGCCACCCATTCCTGCCAGGGGGCGCACCCAGGGTGTCTCCCGAGGGGTCCCGACTTCTTCGTGGTGTCAGCTTTGCAGTCGATTCCTGACGACACACACTCGCCGCATGACAGATTGATTACAGAACATACCGAAAATACATTGAGTACGATTATGCATCGCGCCAGCTTTTGATCTCTCCATTCTCTACAACCCGCACGCCTGGCTTTCCTCCACCCTTGGCTGCATGAAAGGACGTGCTGTCTTGCACCGCCACGTGCGCCACCTGACTCACTGGGACGCCCTTGAGGAGGAAGGAGAAGGCGCGTTCAGCAGTGCGCGCTTTGTCACCACGGGCCAGCAGGCCGGGACGAAGGATGGTGGTGTAGGCAAAACCCTGACTCTTGACAGCCTCCTCTGCCTGTGGTTGGATGGGGAGGGGGCGTCGGAGGTGCTGCTGTGGATGTTTTCTGCCCACCGCAGCTCCCAGGCATGCAGACTAACCGATTCTTTTCAGGTATTGCTGGAGCACTGCAGGTTGTGTGCCTGCCTTCACCCGCATACCAGTGGTCAACCTCCTCACCAGTCCCTTGGTCTTGATGTATAGGAGTGAGTGGGCAAGTGACAGATTGGAAGCCCACATGCGGGGATTGGCCCCTTGAGCCGAGATGAGGGAGAAGTGGGACACCTTGGCCTGCTTCGCGGCCTCAGCAGCGGCCCGGACGTACTCGAGGTCCACCTTCTGGAAAGCCTCGGCACTTCCGGCTGTCGCGCGGGTGGTTCCCAGGGCGCAGAACACAGTGTCGGCCCCCTCAAAAGCTGAGCTCGCCTCCGATGCCAAGTTGTCCATGTCGATGACCTTATGTTGCAGCTTGGCTGGGTCCCAGCCCTTGTACTCGGGAGGGACAGGTGCCTCTCGACGTCCAACGACCACGACCTCTCCCCATGCGGGGTTCACGAGCAGCTGACCCAGGATCTCCCCTCCTGCGATGTCACACATAGGTATGCAGCATTATAAGGGGCATGATGGCGCAAGACGACCTACCTCGGCGTGCGTCCCCTACACTACTCACCGACTGCGCCTGTGGCGCCGACGACGACGGCTTTCAAATTCTTAGTTGCCATGATTCGAGGTGACACCAAGTAGTATTCTTGCAGAAAATGGCAGCCGAAATCCTGCTTGCATGTGTCCTGTCGAATAACCTGTGTGTCCGCATATGTCTCGTCTCGGCCCTGCGCGCGCGCAGGAGCTTGTAGCGATCTCCGACTGAGAGCTATGTTGGCATGTGTCCATCCCACCCAGCGGTCTCCAACGGCAGAAACACTCGGTGCTATGGCAAAAAACAACAGTACATTGAAATAGGGGCTGTGCTGTGGTGAGGGCGCCGATCAAGGTTGTCGCAGCCTGGAGGCACCATCCATGGATTCGGATGCCCGCGCCAGTTCCCTCCTGTGACCGAGTCTTCCGAGCACTCGAGGACTGCAGTCGCAAGCACCCTCGGCAACCGGAGGTGTGCTCCCAGCTCAGTGCCGCGGCGGGCTGGTGCGCGGTGCGCAGTGTATGCCCCTCTGAGGGTGAGCTGGCTCGGGGCTATGGGATGGAGGGGCACCTACGCGCTCACTCCATGGCCTTGGACCAGACCTCCCAACTCTCTGTCGCAGTGGATGCGGTGGAGGCCTGTGCGGGCAGGGGCCCCGGGATGACCCCTCCCCGGGTTCCCCACACATGCTCCTTCCAGGTCCAGTGCCTGGACGAGTGCCTGGAGGCCCACGCTGAGCGCCTGGAGGCTGATGCTGAGCTCCCAAGAGTGTCGCAGGGCCAGGGTCGTAACCCAGCATGATCCTGGCCTTGGGGATTGGCAACGATGCTGTGGACTGGCAGGCGGTGGGCTGTGAACGTCCCTGTACACACCACTCGCGCAACCAACCCCCTCATAGTAAACTGTCGGAATTCCAAGACTACTTCTACAACAAATTCACACACACTTGTGGTCGGGGGTGTGACAAAGCCGGGCAAGGGAAGGTCATAAAATCAGGCGTGGCAATCATGCAGGAAGACTGGACGGGTGCATCGATCGACAGGAGCAGCACGGCATGGCTCCCACCACCCACCAAAGGGGGAGGCTTTCGACAAGGGAAGGAGGGATGGCTGTGGGACACCTGTGGCCGCGGGGGGAGGGGAATGCGTCTGCACCCCCCTTCCCACCACCACGCTTCCTTCATCACGGCTTCACGGACCAGACGTAGAAACGGGGAACATTCACCGCGTCCATGCCGTTGAAGGCCGAGGCGCCGCAGATGGTGTAGGCCCCCATGTCGGGCCACACCAGCCACGAGCCGACGCCCAGCCCGGCAGGCAGCGGGTGGCCCCGCACCAGCGTGTCCAGCCCGTCGCAGGTGGGCCCAAACACGGTGGTGGGGACCAGAGCGCCGCGCGCGCGGTCGTCGGTGGCCAGCGCACGCGGCAGGGGGCTGGCGTGGTCGTACAGCATGCAGTTCATGGAGCCGTAGATGCCATCGGTCACGAAGAGCTCGCGCGTGGTGGGGTGGAGGGTGGGGTCCTCGACGGTGGGGGTGGCGATGGCGTCCACGTCCCTGGCGTCACCGCCCGCGCTGCGCTCGCGCGCGCCAAACACGGCGGTGGCAAGCGTGGCGATGCGCTCCGCGAAGAAGCGTCCCGGCTCGGCCACCACCTCCACGCCCGGGAAGCGCGCCTCCAGCGCGGCGTTGATGGCCGGCGCGATGCCGCCCAGCGCGCCGCCCGGGAACCCGCCGCCGATGTCGAGGATGGAGACGGCGTGCCCCGCGGCGCGCAGGACCTCGGCCGCGTCGGCGGCGACGGCGATGGCGTTCTCGTAAGCCCCCGCCGCGTCAGCCCCCGCCCCGGACCCGACGTGGAAGGCGACGCCGTCGACGGGCAGGCCCAGGCGCGTGGCCTCCGCGGCCAGCGCCGCCCACTCCCAGGTCTCCGCGCCGTATTTGTTGCCCAGCGGGCAGCGTGCGGCGGGCGCGTCGGCCCGCACGCGCAGGAGCAGGCGCGCGCCGGGCCAGGCGCGGGCGACCTTGCGCAGCTCGTCCACGCTGTCAAAGGTGGTCAGCGGGCAGCCCAGCTCCGCGCCGGCGCGCAGGTCGCGCGGGCGCTTGCAGGCGTTGGCCAGCAGGGTGCGCGACGCGGGCACGCCCAGCGCGCGCACCGCGCGCAGCTCGGCCTCGCTGGCGCAGTCGAAGCGCGCGCCCAGCGCGGCCAGCGTGGCCAGCACCGCGGCGTCCGGCAGGGCCTTGACCGCGTAGCAGGGCGCGACGCGCGGCAGCGCCGCGCGCCAGTCCAGCGCCAGCCGCGCCAGCAGCCCCAGGTCGATGACGTAGAAGGTGTCCTCCAGGCCGCGCGAGGCGATCAGGGCCGCCGCGTGCGCGTCCAGCGAGGCACGCGAGCCGTCGGGCAGCGGGTGGGCGCCGTGCAGGGCCAGGACCTCGCCCAGGGGGCGAGGCCCCACGGGCCGCGCGTCCTCCGAGGCGGTGGAGGAAGGCGTGGCGCGGCCGCCGCCCCACTCGCCCGCGCCCTCGCCCAGCGAGTCGAGGTCGGTGAGGACGGAGGAGAGGGTGTCCCGAGACACCACGCCGCGCGGCGACCCGCCGTCGGAGCTGCCCGCGCCGGCGTCGCAGGCGGCCACCGCGTGCCCTCCCAGCACGCCGGCCGTGGCCTCCAGCGCCAGCTCCATGGCTTTGGCGGCGCAGTCGGCCTGCAGCTGGCCGGCGGCGCCCAGGGCCTCGTCGGCGGCGTGCGGGAGGTCCTCGGCCTGGCCGTCAAACGCCTCCCCTTCCTCCAGGTCCAGGCCGAAGAAGGCGACGTGCCCGCCCGCGCGCAGCTCCTGGAAGGACCCCGCGTGGCAGGCATAGCCGGCCGGCAGCGAGCGCCGTGCGCGCCAGGTGGCGCCGTCCACGTCGCCGACGCAGGCGCCAGCTGGGGCGTCCACCGACAGTGCCACCGCCATGTGGCGGGGGCGGAAGACGGCCGCCACGCGCGCCACCAGGTCGGGCACGTCCATGGTGGCGGGGTCGTAGCCGCAAAGCTCGAAGGAGGCGTAGGAGAAGCCGTCCTCGGGCGTGATGTGGATGGTGGAGAAGGACCCCGCCTCCACTGCGTTCATGGAGTAGCCGCAGGGCTCGAACACATAGTCATCGATCTCTGCGGGTGGGGAGGAGGGCGGAAGCTCAGGTGTCAAAAAATGGGTGTGAGGGGGGTGTAGGACGTGGCCAGGCTGGCAGGCAGGCAGCCGGGACAGTGTGCCCAGCGAGTGGTCATCCCTTTTCAAAGGCCAGCCAGGCCTGGCCGGGCAGGCGTGACGAGGCAGGTTTCAGTGGATCCAGACATAACAGAGCAATCCACACATGGCCCGCAAAGGCATAGACCTGCAATTCCACGCACAGCACAACCTCAAGCAGCCCATACCATTGTCTCACCGGCCTTGGGGAGGAGGTCCTGGATGCCCGAGTCGCATGTCACGCGGCGGCTGTCCACAAATGCCTCGGTGCGGAAGAAGTTGGCGGCCTTGCGCGGGCACAGGCCGGTCATGCACAGCTCCAGGGTGTGCAGCGGGGGCGGAGGGGGGGCCTGCGCCACTGCGGCCGCGCCGCGCGCAACGCCCGCGGCGAAGACGTGCCACTGCAGGCCCGCCAGCGCGTCGCCCAGGACGTAGGCGGAGGCCAGGGGCAGCGCGGCAAAAGCGGCGCGCAGGACGGCGGTCTCGGCCTCGAAGCTGGCGTGCTCCTCGGGCTGCGCGGCAGGGAAGAGGAAACTGGCGCGGGAGTACTTGACCGCGGCCGGCTCCAGGCCCAGACCGGCAGCGAGGCGGAGGAGCAGGGGGACGCAGGCCAGCAGGCGGGTGGTGCCGCAGGTCTTGACCACGATGCGGTCAGGGTAGACGAAGCAGGAGGACTCAGACAGGACGTAGGCGTCGTGGCTGGCGTGGTGGCGCACCGACACGATGAGGCAGGCGGCGCTGTCCATCAGCGCGTCCAGCTCGGCGCGGGTCAGCGCGCGCAGGCCGGCGCCGACGGCGCCCGCACGGGAGGAGAAGCTGACGCTGATGCGCTTCTCAGACCCCTCGAAGGCGGGGCAGGGCAGGGCGGCGACGCACATGGCTGCCAGGGGGGGCAAAGGTAGACGGTGGGGACCGAGGAAGGGGGGGTTAGGGGCAGGGGGGGCAAATCCCTGGCTAGCTAGGTAGGGGGCGCTATGAAGGCTCCTTTACGCACTGCGGCCCGGTGTGGGGTGAAGGGGGGGGGGGGGGGGGGTGGAGGGCGCTGCGAGCGAGGAGGGCATGGCACCGAGCCGCTGCCGGGTGGGCGGCGCCCGGCGCACCACCATGCCACAGAGTACTGACAGTCAAACCCACCCTGCCATGCCAGCCTGGGAAGGCAAGGCTCACTTGACAGGCGACAGCCATTCCCTCCGCACACACCCCTCCGCCATCAAACCCTGGACTCACGTCTGGGAATCCTGCGGTATGGTCGATTCCTCCGGGGCGCAGCTCGGCTGGAATGGGAGGCAACGGCGGCTCGAACTTGCCGGAACAGCACCCGCTGCCACGGAGACTAGAAGCACTAAAGGAGCGTCTACTATCACTTTCTGGATCTGAGATCATGGATACTGCTGGCAAAAGGACTTTTCAAAGGGCCTTCCAGCTTGGTGACGGAACGCGGCACGGAGCTAAGGCTGGGCAGTCCGGCGTCGTCTGCTTGGCAGCTCACGCGATACTCAAGACTTCGGGGGTCTGACCTTGGTGGTACGAGGATGAATGCAGGAGGAAATGATGCCCGAGGTGGGTGGCGGTGGCAGCTACATTGCGGTTTCTGGTCGGCGGGCGGCAACCTCGGAGTCGCAACATGAAACCTGCAGTACCTTCCCCCTTTCCACCGATCCCATCCACATGATGCCTCAGCTTCCTGGGGAGGCAGAGGTCGCTCTCAGTGTACAGACATGAGTGCCGGAATGGCGCACTCGTTGTATCATACACGTCTTCATGCACGTCAAGGGAAGGGGGGTCGTTCGCTGTCTGGTCTCTCGTGTCGGCAAGGATTCCCGCGGGCAAGATACCACAAGCCGCCGCTGCGCTGGCGCAGGACGTCCGTGGCCTTGTCGCTCCGCGGCGTGTCATGTGCTGCCCCTCCCCGCAGCTCCACTGGGAGCTCGAGGGGTGGCAGGTGCAATGCTCGGGGTAGATGGTGCCGCCAGTCTGCCTCACGAAAGGAGTGAGCCGGCCCAGAGGGCGGGATCACAAGGTGGGGTTTGTTGCTACCCAAAAGAAGATGTGCCCGGGGTCGTCATGGGGAAAAGGACGTGGAGGGGCCGACTGCCATGCGGCCCTGCAGCACAGTTCCGACCACCGGCAGGCTACGCAGCGCGTTCAGCACGTCCACCTCCGGCACCTGTTGTGTGGTGTGTGTGGTAGAGTGTATTTAGAAGGAACTGGACAGGATCATAAAACGTATTTTGATCCCGGTGCAGTCGAGCGTTGCGTGGGTGTGGCGTGCTGCTGAGCTGCAGGGAAGCCTGGCGGCACCTCCAGGAACTCTCCGCCATGGTAACACGACGCCGCAGCCGTCCAGCATGTATCAGCGACCAGGTCTCGATCTCCACCTCTTCATACCAACACCGACCCTTCACCCCCCTAGAGACATGTCTAAAAGTTCCGCGGCACCTTGAGGGCCACGCGCTGCTGGGCCTCGCCCCTCCTCCGGGGTCCGAGGGCCAGGAGCCCCTGGTCGGCCAGCACGGCCAGCGCGGCGGCCAGCTCCGCCAACGCATAGGGCGCGAGGCCCACCTCGCGGCACAGCGTAGCGTGCGCAGCGTGCAGGCCGCCCAGCGAGGCGCCGGCGCCGGAGGCGGGGCGCGAGGCGGAGGAGGCGGCCGAGCCGCCGGAGGCGGAGCGCGAGCCGCCAGAGGCGGAGGAGGCCGACGAGGCGCCGCTGGGCGGGCCGCTGCCAGGGGCGCGGCCCAGCAGCGCCGCCAGGACCAGCTGCTGGGGGGGGGGCAGGGCGCGCATGGCCGCGCAGGCGGCGCTGCCCTCCCCGACCCCGCCCGTCAGCGCGCTCAGCGCGGCGGCCATGTGGCGCAGCGTGACGCGGTGCGCGGCGCCCTGGTCGCGCCGCGCCTCCTGCACGCAGGCCTCCAGCGCCGCGGCGGCCGCCTCCAGTGCCCGCCGCATGTCGCCGCAGCCGTTGCCCATCTGCGTGGGGCGGTGGGTTGGGGACTGGTGGGCGGTTGTGAGGGGTGGCGCTGGGGGTGCCGCGGACCGGGGGCGAGTGTGTGGATGCGGCATCGCGAGCCTGGCCGAAACAGGGGCCAGCCATGGGCCCTCGGACGACGAGCGACCAGGGGACAACCCTTGATCCCTCACCTTCCGTGCACACAGCTCCAGGACCCTGGGCTCGAAGACTGGGCCGGGCAGGCGCTCGGCGCGCTGGGTCAGCAGCGACGTCAGCGCGGACGGGGAGTAGGCGGGGAACACCTCGTGCCGGGGAAAGATGTTCCGGCGCTGCAGGGATAGGGGAGGGGGGTGGGAGGGGGGGGGGTGACGAAAGGTCATCGTGGTGTCCTGGGCAGCGCAGGGGTAGGGATCGGCAGCACGGGGCATCCCCACGCATAGCACTGGATGTGATCAGGATCGAGGAGGCGGGCCCCTCCGCACTGCATGACCCTGCCGCTCAGGAATGTATCAGCTGCTGCGGCCCTCTGCCATGGCTGAGCCTGTCCACCCCACCAGCCATGATTCTTTGGTCCTCCCACGTCCCTCCCCCAGACATTCGTCCTGCACCCTCCCTTCCCCCCCTCCACCTCGCACCCCTCTCAAAACTCACGTGGAAGGCGGCGCCGGGGCGCAGGAGCTGCTGCACCAGGTCGACGGTGTTAGCGATGCCCAGGATCAAGAGCCGCGAGCCCGGCGCATGCGCCAGGGCAAACAGGTCCTCAACCATGGCCTCGCCTCGCGACCCTGGGGCAGTCAGTGGTGAGCATGTGCGGGGGGGGGCAGTCAGCGCAGCACGGATAGGGGAGGGCGGGGCTGCGAGCGTTCACTGTACCCAGCTGCCGACTCTCAAAACGCAGGCAACCCCTCCACGCCACTCACCGTGCAGGAGCCCGTCCAGCTCATCCAGCAGGACGATGGAGACCTGGCGGCGGGCGGCATGGGGCAGGGGTCCCGCAGCGCTTTCCTGCGACACGGTGTCCTCGCGGGAAACCACGGCGCGGCGCAGTTCGGCCAGGGCGGCCTCGCCCGTCCACCTCCCTGTCCCGGAGGGTAGCACCAGGGGGTCTCCACCGCCTGCAGCGGAGTGGGGCGGTTGGGCTGGGCGAAACTGCCGGGGAGGTGTGATGAGAATCGCGAGCCCGTTGCGAGCATGGCCATGCCTTCTGAGGTCACCCTTGCGACACCAGAACCTGGTCGGCACGGAGCGCCATGCGGCATGCGATGACCAGCCCCACACCATACACCAGCGGCTTGCCTGACACGCTGGCGGCATGCTCGCCACTGCTCGCAACTGCCAGCCCGTCCAGGATGCGGCCCGCCACCTGCCCCGAGGCCGACAGGCGCATGCAGTTGATGGAGACGAGGGCGGGCGGCTGCGGCCGGGGGCCGGCTGTCCTGGGCTCCTCGGGCCGGGAGAGGAAGGTGCCCGCCGCGATCTCGTCGTGCACGCCACGCAGGAGCGCCTGTGCCGTCAGCGTCTTGCCTGCGAGGGGCGGCAGCGCGCATGTTTTTGAGATTCATTTGCCGGGCAGGCCGGTCTCGTCGCAGAGGCAGGCACCCGCTGCAACCCGGCTGTGCGCCCGGACCCCTCACCCGTGCCCGGGGGGCCTGAAAGGTAGCAGGAGCCGCCGGTGCCAGACTCCAGGCACTCCCGGATCCAGTCGGTGACCGCGGCGGCCTGTCGCTCCCGGCACAGCGGGAGCATGCCCGTCGCGTCCGCTGAGGCGTGCAGCGCCGCCTTGGCTGCGCGGACCTGGGTGGGAGTGCGGAGGGGTGGCGTTGAGACTCTGGCCAGGGGTGAGAGGCCTGGTCCAGGCTTCCCAACCTCCCCCCACGCCTCACCTTGGCGGGGTCGAGGGGGTCCCACCAGGCCTGATCGTCGCACGTGGGGAAGGGCTGTGCGGCGGCAGGGACGGCAGGGACGGCAGGGACGGCAGGGACGGCAGGGACGGCAGGGACCTCCCCCGACGAGCCGGCCGCGGGCCCCGCAGTCTCCGGCCCGTTGGCCGCAGGGCTGTCGCTGGGCCGCTCCGGCGCGGCCACCTCGGCCACTCGTGGCCGGTGGTCGCCCGGCAGCTCCTGGTCGGGCCCGGCGGGCAGGGAGGCCGGCGCGCTGGTCGCGGGCCCCGCTGCGGCGCCGCTCTCCCCCGCAGGCTCCCTCCCCGACTCCATGCCCGCGAGGTCGGGGGGCGGCACCAGCATGCGCACCACGCCCCGGATCCGGGGTCCGGCGCCGGCCATCGTGGCCCGGCGCGGGGGCGTGGGGCTCTTCAGGATGGAGTCCCGCACCGACTGGGAGGGCTTGGGCCCGATGCTGGTAAGGCGGTCCAGGCACGGCAGCAGGCCCTGCCGCCAGGGCGTCTCCTGCGCCTCGGCGCTGGGGGCAGCCGACGCCCTCGTCGGCGTCGTGGGCGGGGGCTCCGTGGGGATCGGCTGGACGGCGGCCTGGCCGGCGACGCCGTCCCCGTCTGCCACGCCTGGGGGGGTGGAGGGCGACGCGCTCTCGCCGAGGTCCAGGAGGCCCTCCGTGAGCGCTGCCGGGGTCAAGCGAGTCCCGAGCTCCTCGACTCGCGCTGCTTCGGCAAAGGGACTGAGCTCTGTCTCCGCGACCCTGCCCGCAGCAGGGACGCTCTCGCGTGCCGTGAGGGGCACGGCCCGGCACCGACGCTTGGCGGCGCTGGGGAGGGTGGCCTCCGCTCCGGCCAGCCCCTTCCCGCCCCGCTCGGCTGGCGGCGAGCGGGTGCGGCGCTTGCCGCTCCTGGTGACGCTGCCGTGGGCCAGCTGCTCCACGGTCCGGGGCCGCAGCGAGGAGGCGCGGGTCGCGATGGCGGTGCCGAGGGGCTGGGGGTCCGGGCCACCCGGGGCTGAGCCCCGGGCCAGCCTCTTGCTGCTGCGCCGGGGGGTGATCTGGGAGCCGGGCGCGGAATTGTTGGCTCGAGAGGTCACCCGACGACCCACCGACTTGACGGACTGCAGGAGGGCGCCCAGCACGCCGGACGCGCGGGTTGCGGAAGGCTTTCCGTTGGGAGTCGCGACGGGCTTGCGGCCGCCTCGCATCGTGTTGCGCGAGCGCAGGAGATGGTCACCATCAGAGTCCGTCAGCTGTGGACTGAAGCCGGTGTAGTCGGTGCGGGCCATGGCCGGCCCGGGATGTTGCGAGTGCAATTCAGGGCGGCGACCTCTCGCGGCTCGAGGGGAATGGGCCCACCGCCGGGAGCGCAGCTACGGCCGCCTAGAAAAACACCCTGAACTGAATTCAGGTGCTGTAGGAATTATCGTCGCGGTGTGAGGGACGCCGGAGTTGGCCCTAGTACCTCCGTATTTTTAAACGAGTGGACACCTGGCGCGCCGAGGTTTGGATTTTCGGTCATGCTGTGCATGGCTTCCTTTCGTCGCTCGATTGCCCTGGTTGGGGGTGCAAGATTTTCAGTAGCACCCACACTTGACCTATGGGGATCCGCAGAATAGAATATTGACGTCAGAACTTGTATATTTGGTGCTTGCCTATTGCCGTGTCAGCCTTGGGCCAATGATGCCGGGCTCTCACGTTCTGGAGTGATCGCCCGAGGAGGGCTAGTTGCCAATACCCCGCTCGTACCTGCCACCCGAGGGATCAAGACCCACATGATGGCAAACTACGTCGAAAATTCCGCGCTCGAGAGGGTCCTGCGCGTCACCCTCACTGCAGAAGACGCTGAGGCTGGAACAGGGATGCAGCCCCCTGTGGTGTATCTCAGCGACCTTGCTCAGGCGCGTGGATGTCACGCAGCGCACGCCACCTCTCACTGGGTCTGTTGTTCTCGGAAAGCTTGCATGCCCTCACACTCAGTAATCATGGTACGCTGCAGGAGCTGGTGACAGAGGGCTCGGCGCCAGAGCTGAATGACCTCACCCTCGAAAGGGCCCTGATGGCGCGCCTGGCTGCGCCCCCTCCCACATACCCCCAGTGGCCAGTGCATTACCTGGTCGGCTGCTACGTCCGTGCCTCAGGTGTGTGACGGGCTGGCGATGGCCTCCACATCAAGGCCAAAGCGAGGGATTTCAGTGGGCGGTATGCGACACACTCTCCCCATAGGGAACTGCACCCCATCCCGACACTGCTACATTCACTCCCGTCCCCACCCACCACAGCCGAGCTGCGTGGGAAGGATCAGGCGCTGGTCAAGCTGCTGGAATTAGCCAAGGAGCTGACGGTGTCCTACACAGCCCTCATCCTGACCCTGCAGATGTTCCCGCAGGTTGGCGCAGGGCCGTGCGAGTGTCATTCTGCATGTCAGTCTCCCTGTCGAGTCTGCCTCGGCGCCGCCCCTGCCTCTGACCGCTCCTGCGCCCGACCTCCATGCCCTCATCCCCACCCTCGCAGCCGGCGGCGGCGCAGAGCATGGGCGCGCTGCAGCTCATGGACGGGCTGCAGGCGGGAGTGGGTCGGGGGTCGAGTAGTACCGGCGCCTTCACCCCAGGCCCCGCCATGCCCTCCACCCCCGAGCCGCGGGGCGGGGCATCCCCTCTCCCGCCGGCCTTCCTGGACGACCTGGCCGCCCACCTCGTGTCCCAGGAGCAGGAAGAAAGCTGGACCGAGATCTTGACGCTGATGGGTGAGAGCCTCGGGGTCGGCTGGCTGGGAGTGCCTCTGCGTGAGGCGAGGGTGCCCGGAGGGCGAGCGCTGCACCTGGCCATGCCCCAGCACCAATTCGTACTCACCAACCCAGTCTACTTCCTCCTCTTCCCCCTCAGCCAATGAGCTGATCGACCGACTCTCGACCGTATCTCTCTTGGCCGACTTCCAAGGGCCCTTGGTACTGCTGCAGGCCTTCCTTTCCAGCCGGGCAGTGGTCACAGGCCTGCTCTCGCTGCCCCTGTGGGGAGTGGCGGGTGGCTCGTCCATGGTGGGCGACGCTGATGATGGGGCTGCTGGGTGCTTGAGCAGGGCTGCTGGGGCGCGGTGACGAGGCGCCATCATGAGATGTGACATCCCCTACACTGCAGATGCCCCTGTGCTTCCTGGGGAATTGTTGATCTGGAGGCTAATGGCCGCAGTGACATAGTGGCTGGGCTGAAGATGCCTCATCAGGGGAATCTCCCAAAGCCACATGCAAAGTGACTGAATGTCTTAGCTCATTCTCTGTGCACCCGGACACAGAATGGGCGGGAGCTGGAGGCGAAGACGCTGCTGGGTGCCGCCTTTGGAATCAGCGGGATACCAGACATCGGTGGGTCCTGGGGCCAGGGCCTCGTAGATAATTCCCGGGCAGGGTGATGCATTGCTCGATGTCACAATGCGTCATCTGTTGGGCCGGTTCTGGGGATCCCCATGCTGGTGGCTACCCCACTTATTCAACCACAGGCAAACTGAGTATCGTGCCATTGCACCCCACCCACCTTGCCCCTGATCAGTTGTGCCAGGCAAGCAGCGCATGCCAAACGTGGTGGATGAGCTGTTCCCCCTGGGCTCAGATGCCCGCCCCGCCGACATCCGTAGCGGGGTGCAGACTCTGCAGGCAGCCTCCGACCAGCTCCACACCGCCCTGCACTCCCTGGTCCTCAACCTCCTGCGCGGCCAGGCATGTTTCGTGTGCCGTGCTGCTCCTGCTGGGTTCAAGAATGGGGGCAGGGTGTCCATTGAGGGGAACTCCGATGGGTTGGCGTCAGAGGTGCAGCTGACGAGGTCAGCCTGGCATGGCCTGACACGTGCTGACCAGACGCCCCTTGCATCACTGCCCGCAGGATACCAAAGAGGGAACACTCCAGTGGCTCACCGTGGCCGTGCAAGTGAATGCTGAGCGAGCAAAGATGCACTCGGACCTCAAGGTGGCGTCCACCGATGGATTTATGATCAACCTGACGGGGGTAGGCAGAAGGGATTTATAGTTTGGGTCGGAAGAGCTGAGTGCCAGGCGGGTACTGGTGCCTGCATTGCAAGTCAGGGATGTTTGAGGAGAGTGGAAAGCATGCATGTCACGGAGGCGCTCACAGTCCAGAGCCTTGCGAACCCCTCAACCATGCATGCCATCGTCCACTCTCCCTCATGCAGACGCTGGTCCGCCTGTGCCTGCCCTTCATGGGTGCCAGCAGTGCCAAAGCGTGGCCAAAGCTGAATGCCCGGTAGGCATGCAGTGAGGGTGGCTGGCCTGCACGAGGGTCACCATGAACCCCCACAACGTGATGGGATGTCGTATGGCAGGACACCGCCTGCGAGGCACCCTGCAAGCCCTCCTCCAATCTCCGTGGTGTATCCCAATCCCCCGTCTGCCTCCCCTCCCTCCCCTACTCCAGGTACCTGTCTGATCCGGAGGCCCGTCTCCCGCTTTCTTTTGACGAGACGAGGGTGGCGGCTACGGGGGAGGAGGTCCGCGCCTGGGCGACGGAGTGGGCTGATGTCTCCCACTCCAGGGACAAGGCTGGTGCAGCGGGGCCCTCCCCAAGCCCCACCGCACCCAAGTACCACTTCATGTGCGACGCCTTCTTCCTCATGGCGCGCTGCCAGGGCCTGGGGTACGCCAAGTGCATTGAGAACCTGAGGTCCCTCGGCCGGCGCGTCAGCGACTATGAGAATGCGCTCACCGAGCTGGAGGCTCACCTGGCAGAGTGAGCGATGGCTCGGATGGGTTTCTGGGGTGCAGGCCAGCCCTGTGTTGCACCCTGACTCGTCTTTCAGATGGCTTGAGTGCCAAACATGGAGCGGAAAGGGGGGAGCCTGAGCGTCAGCCTCCCTCGCAGTACCCAGGCGTGCTGAGCTGTCATGGCTAATCACCTCCAAAATTACAGACCCTCTGCCTACATGGACACCTCCCTCACTCCAGGTTCCCTGGGCATCCCCTGGTTCGATCCCGGATCACCCAGTACCAGCGCATCATCCAGCTGATCAAGGGGTCGGACGCCGCCTACCAGGCACTGCTGTTAGACCCCGGGCTGCTGGGCAACATCCTGTCCTTCTGCAGGTGCGAGGGTATGGGGGAAGGTTTTCTTTGGTGCCAGCAGATCAATTGTGGTGGGGGCCCAGCGTGCCTTTACGGCGGCAAGCAGAAGGATTCCTGCCTTGTGCAGCAGTAGTTCTGAACGGCAGCGGCACACGGATTAAACGTGTGCTGAGATTTCCACCTCCTCCAGGCTGATGACAACATACATGATGCGGCTGGCAAGCCCGGCCTTCGCCGCCGGGGGAGCCCTCGCGCTGCCGCTCGTAGAAGGCCCGCCCATGGAGTTCCGGCAGCTGCCCGTGAGCGTCTGGTCGTGGGTCTGGCCTGCATGCTTGACCGCGGCGTCGCATGACAAGGCTGGGCCCGCCTGGCTTTGATTGATCTGATGCTCAGGGGTGGCTTGAGACGGTTGCCTCCGCGCCAGCCGCCGTCAAGTCCCACGGATGGCCCCCTCCTCCCATCCGGCGCCCTGCGCAGGAGGCGTGGGTCGAGTCGCTGGCGGACATCCTCATTCTGGTCGCCCAGACCCAGCGCTCCGCCAGCCTGGCCCAGGGCGACATGGAGGACCTGATGGTCTTCATCACCTTCTGCCTCGCCTCCCCCGCCTACGTCCGGAACCCGTACCTGAGGGGGCGGCTGGTGGAGGTGCTGCATGCCCTCATGCCTCCCAACGAGGACCCGGGGTCGGGGTTCAACGCCCCCCCCCGCACCCAGGCCTCACACGCCGAGATTGCGGCCCTCTTCCAGGCCCACCCCCTGGTGCTCGACAACATGGTGAAGAGGTATGAGTGTGGGTTTGAACTGCCGCTCTGGCAGGGGCATGGGTGGAGGCTGCCTGGTGAGTGACATATTGGCAAGGGTCATTGTTGGCCAGGCGAAGGGCTCGAGGGTCCTGTGCAAGGCAGACTTAAAGGGAGGGGTGGCTGACCAGCATGTCATGGAGTGCCCTGCAGCGCCACCGCACGTCGTGCCCGGCTTCTGCGGCCCTGACCCCTGCCAGACACCCCATGCCTGAAAGGCCCTGGGTTCAGTGCAAGCGACATCTCCCCTGCGCACACATGACCCTCACCCTGCGCTTCTCACCCCCGACAGCCTGGTGCAGCTGTATGTGGACATCGAGATGACAGACCGGCACAACACCTTTTACGAAAAGTTCACCACACGATACCAGATTGGGGAGATCATGGCGTACCTATGGCAGCTCCCGCAGGTGAGGGGGCAATGGGCAGCTGCGATGGGATGCTGAGATCTGGGGCCATGGGTTTGCATCAATCACATGCGAGTTGTCTCGACCATGCCTGGACAAGGCTGTGCTGCGACAGGACCTGCTTCCTCATTGCTGGTCCTCCGCGACTCCCTGTTGTCCTGACGCCTGCCTTTTGGCAACTGCAAGCTCTCCAAAGGAGTACCCATTCATCCCCCCCCTCTCCCCCCCTCCAGCACCAAGCATCGTGGCGCGGGGTCGCCAAGGAGCACCCCTACATCTACGTACGCTTCATCAACATGATGATCAACGACTCGCAATTCCTGCTGCAGGAAGCCCTGGAGACGCTGCCCAAGGTGAGTGGATCACTCCACGGCAGTGCTCCCTGATGGTCCGCTGGCTGCTGTGCTCGGAGGGTGGGGCCTTGCACAAAATGCTGGGCGTGGGCCCTCCTGCGCGCCTGAGCAGTCTGCCTTTTTGCACCCGGCCGCCTCCCCGCCAGCGCAGGTCCAGGAGGTCGAGCGTGCGATGGAGGACGAGGCGGCCTGGGCCGCGCTGCCGGACGCAGAGCGCACGGAACGCGAGGAGCAGCTCCGGACCGACCGCGGCAGGCTCAAGGTGGGGTGCTGTTGCTCGCAACTGGTATCATGCCACCTCCAGTTGGCGGTTGGTCATGAATCCCAGCCGGGCTTGCATGGAAAGAGTCTATATCAAGGATCTCCCCCCCCCTGTGTTTCTGGGTGCTATCTTCCATGCCCGAGGTGAGGGCAAGGACAAGCCTGGAGGAGCAAGCGTGGCCTGCCGACGGTCTCCCACACCGCACGCGCAGAGCGACTTCTACCTGGCATCCGTGTGCATCCAGACCATGCAGTACACTGCGGTGCGTGGGAGAGACAGTGCACCTGGGGGTTCCCTGCACTGCCTCTAGAAATGGGTGGATGCACTTGGCTATAGGATCAGCTCCCATGTCAAGACAAAGAGCAACGTGTGGCCGCCTGATGGCATCTGTGTCGCATGATGCTCCATCCTGAGATACACAGGAGCTGATCCCAGGTTGCCACTCCCCACCGTCCCCCCCCCCCCCCCCCCCGACTTAGGCCGACGAGGCGGTGGGGTCCCTCTACTTCGACCTGCAGGTGCGCGACCGGCAGGCCCGCATCCTCAACTTCTTCCTCAAGTACCTCACCCTGCCCTCCGAGCGGCGCAAGCTGAAGCTTCGGGAGCCGGAGCGGTACAACTGGCACCCCGGCCGCCTGGTAGCCCAGCTGGCCAGCCTCCACGTCAGCCTGTTCCGCCGGGACGCAGCTGCCTGGGTGGAGGCATGCGTGGCCGACACTGACTACCTGGGCAACGCCCCCGACATCTTCGAGTACCTCGACCAGGTGCCTTGCGGTGGTCGGAGGGGTGTGGGTGGGGCGGGGGAATTTAGGAGTGGGGAGCTTGGTGGAGGATGTCTCTCGATGTTTGAGTGGAGCTTGGAGCCACTGCAGTGAGTCGCCAGGCAGCGCTGCCGTCCCAGGGTCCCATCCGTAAATCATAGGGCAATGCACTCAGTCCCCAGTCCCACCTCCCCCTCAGGTGCTGGTCCGACTCGGGACGTTGCCCGCCGCCGACCTCGCCGACCTCAGGAGCCTGGCGAAGCGGGTGGATCAGGTGCGAGGGACTTGGGAGGGCATAATCTCTGTAACTTGCCTGGGGCGTGCAAGGCTTCGGGGACCTCGCACCGACTCTACATGTGCCCTTCCCACCCTCTGATGGCTGCCAACCCGACACACTCACCAAGTCCCGTCCCTCCCTCCACCCCTCGCAGGCGCGGCTGGAGGCGGAGGCGGAGGAGCAGGCCCTGGACGACATCCCCCCGGAATTCGAGGACCCGGTGCTGGGCACGCTGATGCGCGACCCGGTCAAGCTGCCCAGCGGGAATGTCCTGGACCGAGCCACCATCATGCAGCACCTGCTCACCGACCAGCGGGACCCTTTCAGCCGAGTGCCCATGTCCGAGAAGGACATGGAGCCCATGCCGGAGCTGCAGGCCCAGATCGCGGCGTGGCTGGCGGAGCAGCGGAGGGCCAGGGCCGCAGCAGCAGCTGCCGCCGAGGAGAAGACCGACATGGAGGAGGGCTGAGGAGGTTGCGGGGCATGGGTCTGGGGTGGCGCTGCGCTGATGTCTCAGGTGCCAGACACAGAGGCTGTCATCCCATGGTGCACTCGGTGATGGGCGTCAGCAGCTCATGAAGAGGTGCATTGGACCAGCATAATCTGAAGAGGTTTCGCAGAATGTCATGGATAGCCAGGGTGGGCGAGGATGTGCGGTACCAATTTCAGGTACCCTAAGTGCGTGAATACAGGGCGCGCGCATATGACACACCAGCCCGTACAAGACATCGTCACATCAATTGTATCATCCTTCAATCACCAGGTAGCAGGCAGGTCCGGGGTCTAGCCCGCCCACATGATTATCGACGGCACCCGCCTGGTTGTGAGCGACAACAGCGGGGCCAAGGAGGTGGAGTGCATCAAGCACAAGGGCCGGTACGCGGCCATCGGCGACATCATCACCTGCGCAATCAAGAAGGGCGTTCGCAACAGCAAAGTCAGCCCGGTGAGTGACGATAGTGTGGGAGGTCTGGGAGGTGGGCACCCAGGAGGGCGAAGGAGGCCAAACCTTTGCCGGGCGCATCATGCAGCACATGAGATCATTCATGCTTGTATTTGCTTTTAGAATGAGTGGTTACCTCACACTGCACTTTCTCAGGGTCAAGTCGTGAAGGCAGTGGTTGTGGAGACCAAGAAGGAGCTGCGCCGACCCGACGGCAGGTGGGAGGGTCGTGGGGCGATGGGCGTGGCAAGAACCCACAAGGGAAGGGTGTCCTTTGGGATGCTCTACTGGTAGCGTGTGTGCACAGCTGGATGACGGAGGGTGCACTGATGATTGACTCGCCTCCTCCCGTTCAGGCAGATGTACTCACACCCGCCCCCTCCTCCCACAACCCTTGCTCCGTGCAGTACCATCAAGTTTGACCGCAACGCGTGCGTCCTGGTCAACCCCAAGGGCATCCCCATCGGCACCCGCGTCTTGGGATTCGTGACCCATGAGCTGCGCGCCAAGCAGATGCTCAAGATCGTCAGCCTAGCAGCCCGCATCTTCTGATCCCGCTCTCCCCTAGGGTTTCGACTCTGCAGTCGACCGGCAGGCCTGAGGCTACAACTCTCAGGGCTGACCTCCTTAGAACTTGGCAGTCTCCAGGCCGAGGGTACCACTCGCACGAGCGTCAGGAAGCCAATAGGCTCCTTGGTCCTCGCCCTTCCTTCTGACAGACTCCACCCTCCAGGCCCCATGTCACGCAAGCTGGGAGACCGAGGGTCGATGATCGCCCTGGGACTGCTCAGCGCCGGCACCCTCTTTGCGCTGGCCATGGTGTCTCGGGCGAAGAAGGCCAACCTCATGCCGCCGCCCCAGCCTCCCCCAGGCTGGTGGCCCGGGGCGGGATCTCCCTTCGGCGGGAAAGCCCCGGCAGATGTGACCCAGGAGAAGGGTTTTGAGGCGAGCCTGGCTGCTCTGGACCGGCGGAGGCCCTGAAGTAGGCAGCAGCAATGATTGGAAGTCCCCACTGGAATGTGTGTTAGGATGCAGATGTTAGCATGTGTTCCATGTGTACAAGGCTGGAAGTGAAGACACAGGGCAAGGACCACGGCGTCACGGCACATGGCGTTGGGTGGCAGGGGCGCTTGCGACGTGGCTGGGAAGTAATCACGAATGGGAATGGGGAAATCGGTCGTTCCAAGGACGCCGTCGGTCGATCATTGGGGCCGGCTGCGGCGGTTTGGTGCCCGCTGTGCATGCAGGGCCCCACTTGGCCGCCGAGATTTGGGAGACCAGAGCCCGGCTGGCTTCAAAGGCGGCGGCGTGCTGCTTCCTGGCCACGTCCCTGGAGGGGACGATCGCCTGTGTGGGGCAAGAGAAGCGCAGCGTGAGGGTTCTGATGTATCATACTGCTTGCAGAGCGGGCCGAAGACCGCTATGGTGTGTTAGACCCTGGCATACCGGCAAAGAGCACCTGCCGTACTCCCTCCCCATCCCCACCTGTATCCTGCGGTGCATGCGCAGGTTGGCGGCGAGCACCTCCCGCTCGGTGCGCAGCCGCCGGAGGGTACAATTGGTCTGCGCCCAGTCCAGGACCTGGATCAAGGTCGAGCTGGGTTTGAGGAGGCTCGGCAAGGTCCAGGGTGCAGGCATGGGACTGACAGAAGATTGGGAAGAGACTACAGCTAGGAGGCAAGTGCCATGGACACAGTGACTTGCAGGTGGAGCAGGCACGTAAGTGAACTGGAAAGTGCCCATAGTTCTTCAATCATCTGGTGAGCTCCAGGACCCACCCTGTCATGCGTGGCAATGTCGGCCTGGAAGGCAGAGGCACTTGCCAATGGCTTGAGCGTGAGGTGGCTCACCAGGCGGGCATTCTCATCCCGAATCCCGTGCAGCTTGGCCGGACTGTGAGACAGCACGATCTGCGGCATGGAGAAGGAATGAAAGGGTGTTGCAGCGGTGAACGTTGGGCAGGGGGCAACATGGAGGTGGAGCGGTTGCAGGGGGTGGTCACACAGTGAATTGCTAAAAAGACCGGTCTTCCGAGGACATCGGGGATCACTCAAGCACTCCTGCGGGCCATCTTGATTCTCGAGCCCAGTACCTGGCATTTTGGACGGCCTCCACCTGCTCCCAGCCTCTCCGAACGGAGGTTGGGCGCCACGGGCTGCTCTTCCAAGCCACGAGTCGCAGACCTCAACACATCACCAAACGACTCAGGTCTCATAGACCCACCGGAAGGTGGGGACTGGCTCTCCAGGGAGTCGGACCCCGGGAGTGTTTCGAGACATGTGGACATGTCGTGAGGACTGGGACCAAGGTCCAGTAATTCAGGGCGGCCTGGAAGATGCAATATATATTCTTTACTCCTAGAACGTGGAATTTGGATGCTCTCAGGTCATGTATAACATCGGCTGATGGTGACAATTGTCGTGTGCATCATTGGTGGGGCCGCTCTTTTCAAAGCTCACAGTGTATGATCAACCCCAAAGATATTCAAGCAGTCCCAATGTCTTGCGATTATGATCATTCAATGTTTTGACCAATGGGCGTTTCTTAATGGACGCTATACATGACTTCTTGCTGTGGAAAACCAAGGAGGTCGTTCGTCACGGGCTGATCCCGCCAACACCTTGTGCGCGCTCGCCGTGGACGGCAGATTATTGCATTCGGAACAGAGCCTTTTATATGCGCCCCCACACTTTCCACAGATATTTTAACTCAGAGATTCTGAGTATCAAGAAGCTTCTCTTCAGCGCTTACGAGGGGCCTGCACTTGTCACACGCGATGGCCACGCAGCGGGGACCCCTGATGAAGCAATTGGCCAAGAGCCTACAAAGGTGGCCCCCGGAGAACTTTGCTCCATGGAAGAATCCCAATAAGCGGCTGCAAAAGATTATCGACTCCGAACTGCGCGGAAAGCTGGAGGCAGCGGTCACCGAGTCCCAAGAAGTCCTCTTCTCTAGATACATCAAACAAGTGCTGCGGAAGCAGACCTGAGGAATGTGTCGACGATATCAGCTCTCCTCCGAAGGTGAGATATGGGAGGCCCATGGCCGGTTCGCGCATGCTCCTGGGGCGGTGCATGGTAGGCTGTCATGTCTGGTTGGCGTACTCAGTGGTATACAGTCTGCTGTGATGCATCTGAGCGAGCCTACCTGTTCCACTACGCACAGAGTTATTTGGGCCGTTCTGTGTCTCACACGCTGCTCATGCCACGCTCCCGTAGAGGCCGCCCAGACTTTAGGCATCCATCCCAAACACGAGCATCCTGGAGGGCTTTCTCAAAATTTACCACTCGGACGGTTTTGAACAGCTTCCTTCCCAGCTCGTTCCATGTCTTAAGACATGCATGGCATGTCTGTGTCTATTCTCTTTTCAGGCCCTTGCAAATTGCCTCATGTCTTGCCAGAAAGGGGAGTTGGGTTTGTCTGGGTGAGGATCTCCTCAATGTACTTGCCAGTCAGTACTTACAGCTCCTGCAAACCCACATTGTAATGGAATGAACTTGTTATGGAATATTGAAACGTTAATCTCAAGACCACCTTGTATCAAGCGCTGCGAGTGCAGTTCCAAGCAAAAGTGCACGGGATCCCACTCGGAAAACGCGTCGGAGATGGAAACGACGCCCAGCTACAGTACAAAATTTGATTTTCATTGACGAAACCCGCCCTGCGAATCGGGTTTGCAAACGTCCGCCCAGCCCCACCACTTTGCCAAACAGCGTGTTGGGTTGAATGACTGGAATCCTTCGCGTGAAATCGCGCCTTCATGAGCTGATGATCTGAGGGCAGTGGGCAGCGACTGCCTGCGAGGGGTGGGCCTCGTCCCCATGTTTGGCAAAGCGGGCCGGACTGGGGCGGAAGTCCCCATCCCACGTAAGAAATCCTCCCGAAACATAGATAAGAGGTGCGGTGGGGGCGTTCTGTGTGGCTATCGGGCGTGACTGGGGTCCAGGAGGTTGCCGGGGGTTGGGGGTGGGAAGAGTTGGTTAGAGCGTTCCCACCCGCGGGCCCGACCACGGGCTTCATCGATGCTTCAGGGGCTCATGGGATTGTTCTCAAGGTACCTCCACGCAACAATGGTGCAGCATGGACGTTCGTCACGGGCGTGGGGAGGCCAGTCCCGGCAACCCCAGCCCGGGAGGCGGGCTCCTGCCCGACAGCCGCAAGATCAGGAAGGAGGTCCAGGCCTTTGTGTCCTCCCTCCCCCTCACAGCCATCAAGAATGCCCAAGGTGAGTTGATGTCCCGTTTGTGGTGTCCGGAAGTGCATGCCTGGTTCTCGTTTCCCATTGCACCTTGTCCATGCTCCCTCCAATATACTCTCCGCGCCCACCCACAGACTCCAGCGAGCTGGCGAGCGCTGTGTCGTCTCGCCTGTACCGCTCGGAGCTTGGGCGCATGGAGGCCCAGTCCCAGCTGGAGGACTGGTGCGCTGCGCAGGGCCACATCATGCGGGCTCTGGGGCTCTGCACAATGCTTGCAACCACCGCACGGGCATTGCACGACCCAGCATCCCGCTCGGGACCCCTCCCTTACCCTCCCCTCCCCTCTCCCACTGCAGGATGCAGGTGGCGGCCGAGCTGAAGCACGTGGTGCAGCAGCAGCAGGAGGCGCTGGAGGCCCAGCTGGCCGGCTCCGGGCCGGCACCCGCCGGCAGGGTGGCGGGCCCCTTCCCCCCCCCGCCCCGCCCGTCCGCTGAGCCCCTGGAACGGCGTGGCGCAGCCGGGGACGAAGATCGCCGCCCTGGAGAAGGTGGTGGACGCGATGCGGGGGGCGGCGAGCCCCAGCGCCATCCCCGCCCCACCGCCCCCGCCCGCGCGAGGAGGTTGCGCCGGCGCTGAGCCAGGGGACCTGGGCCAGGCGCTGGCAGCGGTCGCGCAGCGCCTGGGGTGCAGCCCCGGGGGAGGGGCCGAGGGCGAGATCTGGGAGGCCAAGGCTCTGGAGCTGGAGCTGCGCGCGGCGCGGCGCGAGGCAGCCCGCGCCCAGGAGACCGAGGCCGGCCTGCGCCGCGCACTGGGCGACGCTGAGACAGAGGGCAGCCGCCTTGACGAGCGCCTGGCGGCGGCGCGGGCCGCGCTGGCCGAGGCCGAGGCGAGGCTGGAGGGCGAGGCGGCGCGGGGACGCGAGGCACGGGGCGAGGCGGAGGCTGCGCGCGGGGAGGCCGCCCGGCTGCGGGCGCGGCTGGACGAGCTCGAGGCGGCGATGCGGGGCGTGAAGGAAGAAAGCGAGGCGGCCGTGGCCGAGCTGCGCGGCGAGGCCGCTGGGCTGCGGGTGCAGCTGGAGCGCCTGCGAGACGAGGCAGGTAAGGCCGAAGCGGAGCGCGCGCGGCTGGAGGGCGAGGCGCGCTGCCTGGCGACAGCCAATGCGGCGCTGGGCGCCGACCTGGCGGCGGCCGTGGCGCAAGGCGCCGAGGACCGGCGCGCGGCGGAGGAGCGCGAGGCGCTGGCCTCGGAGGCCGCGGCGAGGGCGCAGCGCGCGCAGCGCGAGGCGCGGGAGGCCGGCGAGGCCGCGCGCGCCGCCGCGGCGGCAGCCGACGAGCTGGAGCGGGAGGCAGAGGGCGCCCGGGAGGAGGCGCGGCGCGCGCAGCGCGCGGCCGCGCGCCATGCCGCCGCGGCGGCCACCGCGCAGGCCGAGGTGGCGGAGGCGCGCTCGCCGCGCGAGGGCGCCGACGCGCGCTGCGTGGCGCTGCAGGCCGCGCTGGAGGCGGCGCGGGGGGCCGGCGCGGAGGCGGAGCGTCGCGTGCGTGCCGCAGAGGAGGAGAGCGAGGCGCTGGCGCGCCGCGCGCGCGACGCGGAACTGGCCACCGACCGGACACCGAGGTGCGCGCCCTCCGCGACGGTGCGTGGACCGTGTGACGACCGCCGCGCAGGCGGGCGCGCGCGAGCTGGAGGAGGCCAGGCACGGGTTGGGGCTGGAGAGCGAGGCGCGGCAGGCCGCGCAGGCCGAGGCCGAGCGCCTGCGCGCCGAGCTCCTGCTGCGTGGCGGGAAAGGAGGGCGTGGGGGTGGAGGAGGACAGGAAGGATGCCAGAGTCGCGCCCGAGCCCGCCGCCGACCCGCGCCACCTGTCGCAGCTGCTGGACCTGGTGTCTGGGCTGCAGCGCTCGCTGGCCGAGCGCGACGCCGAGCTGGCGGCCGCCAGGGCGCGCGGGGCCGCGGCGGGATCCGCGGTGCGCATGTCGAAGCGCCAGGCGCACCTGCTGCGCTGCCGCGCCGGCGGGGCGTCCCTGGCGTCCTCGGCGGAGGGCAGCGTCGCCTCGCGTGCCGAAGGCGGCGATGGAGAGGAGGAGGGCGGCACAATGTACGACGCGGAGGCGCGCGTAAGGGACGCTGAGGAAAGGACGCGCGCGGCTGAGGCCCAGCTGGAGGCCGCGATGGGGGAGGTCGCGCGGCTGCAGGCTCTTGCTGGAGAAGTTGGCGTGGCGCAGGCCCGGGAAAGAGCGGCGGTGGAGAGGCTGGAGGCCTGCCAGCATGAGCTGGAGGCGTGCAGGCACGAACTCGATGCAAGCAGGTCGGTTTTCTTGGGAGGAAAGGCTGCTTGAGCAGGATCTTTGCGTCATGAGATACACAGGAGTGCGCGACCTTGCGTGGCAGTTTCTGGTGGGGGCGGGAGGTCAGGGCCTTGGGTGTGCGAGGCCAGTCTCTCCACCTGGCACACACACTGATGGCCCTTCCGTCCCCTTCCTTGCAAACCAGGGAGGGTGCCCGCGAGAGGGGGGCAGCCCACGCCCAGGAGACTCAGGAATTGCAGGCTCGGCTGGAGAGGGAGACACGGGAGCTGGTGGCCACCCAGGCGCTGCTCATGGCAAGGGCGGGAGGCGAGTCGGGGGGCAGCGCCACCTCCTCCCCACCCGGAGCCCGGCTCAGCCACCTGCGCGCGAGCGGCGAGGTGCGGCGGGAGGTTGCCTCCCCCGCACACCAGCGCCCTGGCGCCGACCAGGCACGTATTGAAGGGGAAAGGCAGGAGGGGTGGGGAAGGGAGATGTCTGCCCAAGCCTGTGGTCTCTGTGCAGCCCCCACAGTAATCTGTGCTTTGAGAACTGGAACCATTGATGTGTCTTGGGGCCCATCCAGGCCTGGACAGGGCACGACAGCTGACCAGAGTGCTGACACACGGATCCACATCAAGGCCCCCTCACCCTCCCCCAGGACATGTCGTCGAACAGTGGCAGCGGCGGCATGCAGGAGGCCCTGGCCTCCTATGAACAAGCGCTGCAGTCTGAAAAGGCGGCCACGGCCAAGGCCCTGGAGGAGCTGCAGGCCAGACACGAGGAGGAGGTGCGGCGTGTGGTCTGGGAATGAGGGGTCAGGACAGTACCGAATGATGTGGCACGCTGAGCGAGGTTTTGCATCCTACAATAAGCACCGGCGAGATGGGGAGGGGGGGGGGGGGGGGTGGTCAGGTCTTTGAGATCCCCGTGTCATTCAAAGCTGCCTGCACGCCTCGTGGCAGTGCAGCGTCCCCTTCCCCACCAACGGAGCCACGACCACACCACCACTCCCACAACCCAACGCCCTCTCCACAGCTGGCGGCTCTGAGGCTGGAGCAGGAGCAGAGGCTGCAGGAGGTGGAGCTCGGGTACCTCGCGGAGCTGGAAGAGGCGCAGGGCCTGCAGCAGCAGCGAGATGTGAGCTGGGATGAGGAGGAAAGGAAGGGCGTGGGGGAAAGAAGAGCGAAAATTGGAGGGGGTCGTGCTCCATCCGAGGCGAGGTCCGTGTGCAAGCATGCAAGCAGTGGGAATGCAAGTTGTTGCACACCGCCCGACATCTTCCCCCCCTCGCCCCGCGCGCAGTCGGCCGCGGCGCTGCCCGGCCCCGGCCTGCGTGCCTCCGAGCTGGCGCAGCTGAAGGAGGAGCACGCCGCGCAGCTGTCGGCCCAGCGCGCAAAGCATGCCGCTCAGGTGTCGGAGCTGGAGGCGGCGCTGACCGCGCTGCGCAGCCAGGTGGAGGCGCTGGTGGCCTCCGACCGGGGCAGAGGGGCGGGCGGGGAGCGTGCGTCCGCGGCGGCCACCACCCCGCGAGCCTCGCAGCACACCGCCGGCGCCGAGTCGCTGCGCCTGCCCGGCGGCAGCTGGTCGGCCGCCTCCTCCCCCGCGCGCTGCCGCATCACCTCCGGCAGCCAGGGCAGCACCCCCCTGCGCGGTGGCATGCGCGGGCCCGGCAGCCCGAGCGGCGGCTCCACCCCGGGCGCCGCGTCCCCTGCGCGGCGTGGCGCGGGCGGAGAGGGGCCCGCGGACGTCCGCCGCCTCGCGGCCCAGTTGGAGGCCTGCCAGGAGGAGTGCGAGAGGTGGGTGGGGCCTGGGCGTGGGGGAAGGGGAGAGCTTCCACTGCGCGCGTGGATGGTATCCAGGTGTGGGGTGCTACTTTAAGTCTGGCGCCGTGCCGGGGGCCTCGAGGTCGCGCCTGACTGTGGCGATACTTGGATGTGAGGTGTGGTGTCGTGCTGTGCTCACCCTCCATCCACCAAACCGCCGCCTGTGAACAGGAGGGGGGCCGCCCTCGCGGAGTGCCAGGATATGGTGGATGAGCTGCAGGTGGGATGCTGGCTGGGCCCTGGCGGTGCCTGCTGGGTGTGGGCTCCTGACTGCCTGCTTGTGAGGCCCTTGGCTGCAAGGGTTGTGCATTTGGGCCCCACTCCCGACACCGGGGTTCGCGCGCCGGCACAGGCCTTTGCGGAGCAGAAGAAGGCCGAGGCAGCCCAGCTGGCAGAGGCCCTCGAGGTGCGGATGACGTGTGCAACGGTGATAGTGGGGGGGCGGAGGTGTCCTTCGAGCATCCCGCACGACCTGCTTGTCAGCTGGCACGTCAGGCTCCCTTCCCTCCCCACGCCAGCGTTCCCTCCTTTTCCCTCCCTCACTCCCACGGATGACCCCCCCCGGCACCCCCAGGGCGCCAACGCGGGCCAGCGCGAGCTGGGCTCCCGCCTGCGCGCCAGCGAAGCGCTGTTGGCGGAGGCCCAGGCCGCCGCTGCCGCCGCCGCGTCGCGGGTGGAACGCGCGGAACGCCGCGCCGCGGCGCTGGGCGAGGAGCTGGCGGCGCTGCGCCAGATGCACGACGCGCTGCAGTCGGAGCACACGGGGGCCTGCGGCCAGCTGGCCGCCACGCAGACGGGGCACGAGCTCGCCATGCGCCAGATCGCCGACCTGGCCGCGCAGCTGGCCACCGCGCGGGCCGAGGCGGTGAGGCGTGCCGGGTCGTCCGTTCGTTTTCTGTTTGGGAGGGAGGTGGGCTGCGGAGGGGCAGCTGAATGAGGAGGCGCGCCGTCTGAGGAGGGGGGGAGGCGACCGCATGCGAGCCGTTGATCCTCCTCCAGCCACTCGATACTCAACCCCCTCCCGCCCGTCCCTCACCCTTCCCCACGCCCAGGCGAGCGCGGCCGCGGAGACCGCGCGGGCGGGCGAGCCGCGCGCTCGGCCGTCGAGGCAGGACGGGGAGCTGGCCGACTACCTGGTGGCCTCCCTGCGCACCTCCATCTCCGAGGCGCTGGGCGCCGCCCCGGGCGAGGCCCGCGCCCAGGAGCTGGGGGCCCGGCCCGGGGACAATGGGCCTGCCGCGCGCGGGGGGCGTCTGGAATCAGACGAGGCGGCGGCGGCCGAGGCGGCCGTGGAGGCCGAGCTGCGGCGGCGGTTCACCGCGATGCGCGGGGATCCGCCGCCGGGCGCCGGCGCCGGCCGGCTGCAGCACTTCCCCTCACCGAGCGTGGATGGCACGCCGCGGGCGCCGGGGTCCCTGACCCCGGCCTGCGAAACCCCCCACTCCGCCATGAGCCAGGAGACATCCTGGTCCGACACGGGTGAGGCACCCCTTTCATTCATGGGGGGGGGGTGGGGTGGGGGGGCAGGGGCGATGCCCGGCTGGCTGTGCTAGCCGGCCCAGGCAACAGGCAGCGACCGACAGTCGATGGACGTGATGACTCGGGAGGCCACCGACCGTGCCCATCCTCAGGTCAACCTCAAGACTTATCCTTCGACCGCCGCCTCCCTTCCTCTCACCCCCTCGTCGCAGTGGTGGAGCTGGCGCCCAGCGCCATGCAGCGCAAGAAGTCCAAGGGCGCGCTGCACAAGCTGGCCAAGATGCTGCGTGGCGGCGGCCGCTCCAAGAAAGCCAAGGAGGCTGCGGCGGCCGCGGCGGCTGCGGGCCCCACGCTGCACCGCCTGTCCAACGGCCAGACCGTGGGCTTCCTGGGCCCCCAGGTGGCGGAGTGGGAGGCTCGGCAGGAGGCGGCGGCGGTGGCGGGCGGGGACCGGGTTGGCCAGGACGGCGCAGAGGCGGGGCGGGGCGCCCCCCCCCACCGCCTGTCCACGCTGCACGAGGTGGAGGAGGGCGAGGCCAGCACCCCGCGCCCCCTGGCCTGGTACCGGAACGACCTCTCTGTTCGGCAGGACGCCGACCCGGTGGAGGGCGCAGGCGAGTCGCGGGACGCCTCGCCGATTCAGCCGCCGACGCGCGGTCTGGCGCTGAAGCGCGCGCCGCCGCTGCTGCGCACCGACGCGCCGCTGGTGGAGGAGGCGGAGCTGTCGGCGCGCCTGCAGGCCTGGCACAAGGGCCAGGGCTGGCAGGCGGCGCCGCTGGGCGACAGCTGGCAGCTGGCGGCGGGGCGGGAGTCGGTGGAGGACCTGGCGGAGGAGCGCGCGCAGCGCTACAGCAGCGTGCACAGCAACGCGCTGTACATCCGGGCAGACCCGGGTCGGTGACGCGCGGGGCTCTGGCCCGGGCGGGGACGTGGAAGTTGACACGATCTGGAGCAGTGATGAGACGTGTGACCAATTGCCAGACGGCGGGGAGGGGGGGGTTGCGATGGAGCCGGGCGACTGATGTGATCGGTGGGGAAGGGAGGGGCTGATGAGTGTGTGGCGGGAGAAGGAGCAGGGATAGACTGGTCAGGGTGACAAGGAGGGGCAGCCATCATGGAACGGCCTCCTACTAGTGTGTGACGGGGAGTGTGGGCCTCCACTGGGAAGCCGCAATCTGCATCCACGCGCAGGATCTCCACCCCGGGCCCTGGCGGGCATGGGCCCCCACTCCAAGACGCGACATACTCGAAAAGAGAGACTCATGCATGGGAATAGGACTCGTAGAGCGTGCTCATTGGTGTCAGGCTCTATTCGATGACAGGTGGGTCTCCGTCGTCGACACTGCCCACCGATGAGGCTGCACATGGAGCCGCCCAACGACACTTGGAACGATTCTCGATGGGCTGAGGGAGTCTCCCTGAGCCTCTTTCCATTCATTATTTCGAAATTGAGCCAGGTCCTTCCTCTGTTCCCCAACAACCCACCTTAGGCCTGTGCTAGGCTGAGCCCGCTGCCATGGTCCTCCCTCCAGCCTTTGTGGCAGCCCAGCTCATCAATGCGGTGCAGGCCTACATCCTGCTACGACATGATGTCCTGAAGATTGGCAGGTGGGACACAGGAATGTTTCTGTCACAATGTGCACGCTGGGTGGCCGTGCGCATGGAAGCCAGTTCCCATGGTACGAGCCAGCATCCCAGGCAAGGCGTGCATCTGGCCCCGGTCCTGAAGCAAGATGTGCATGCGGCGCCGCCATTTCCAATATGCAGTGATCAGCATCCCACCCTCGAGGAGGTCACAGCGCATGCCCCCTATGGTGAGGCCAGGGTACCCCTGGGATGCTCCTTGAGCAGGCGGGTCTTCAGTCTAAGGGGGTGCCAAGTCCTGCTCTTGTACGTCACCCATCGGCATACTCGAGGGTTGAAATGGGAGACTGCACCTCTGCCCTGCCCTCCAGAGATGCGCCGCAGCTCGCCTGCCCCTCCAAGAAACAGAATCCCACACACCCCTGCGCCAGGTTCGCCACGCATCCTCAGGTGGTACAGGACGAGCGTGTGCGCATACGTCCTGGGCCTCAGCACCTGGCAGCTGGGCCTCAGCCCCGCGGCTCGATTCACGGAGCTCTGCCCCTGGTTCACCATGTGGTGAGCGGCAGGCCGGTGGGGAGGGCTGTTGCTGCCCGGCGGCCGTCCTGGCCCGCTTGCTGCTGCCACTTGGACATGTCCACATCGTGCCGACCCGTACAGCCATGCAATCCCCCCACCTGCCGTCCTGACCCTCAGCAAGCAAAGCCCACAGCGTCCACTCCCATCACCACTCCTGCCCATGCAGGTCCTGGTACCTCCTGGTCCTGTACTTTGTGCTGGCCACCATAGCGAGCTGGACGACGCGGTACATGGACCGCCCCCCTTCGCCACGCGCCGGGGACGATCACCGCCGGCCCGGCCTGTGGCTCCCCCGCGCCATCCTCGTCCTGTATCATGTCCACCAGGCCATGGTCTGGCTGCTCCTGGTCATCACCTGGGGCATCCTCTACCCCGCCGCGCTGGCCATGCCCGACCCACGCGAGCGGCGGGACAAGCTGGAGAACATGCTCAACTTTGGCAGCTACAACCAGCACGGTGGCAACGTGGTGTTCATGCTGGGGGAGCTCTTCCTGGCCCACCTCCCCTTCCAGTCCAGGTATCTGGGCTGGGTGGGCGTCTGGACCGCACTCTACTTCCTCTTCGAGTCCTTCAGCAAGATAGTGTGGGACCAGTGAGTGGGTGGAGGTGGAGATGAAATCAGGATCGCGTAAATGAGGGGATCATCGTCAGGGCGGGGACTGCAGGGTCCTTTGCACCTCCAAGCCATCCTCATGTGGGATTTTACGTTCCTGGCACACCTGATGCCCATTCCCTGCGACCAACCTCAGCGCAAGCCTGCGCAACCCACACAGGTTTCATTACCCCATCTTTGAGGGCGGCGCCATGCAGCAGTGGTCCGCGGCCCTGCTCATCCCTGCCCTCCAATGGGCCTCCTTCGGCCTGGTCCTGGCTCTGGTCTCCCGGAAGAAGAAGCTGGTGGAGAGGGTGGAGTCGCAGAGATCCATCGCGTCCAATGGCGGCGCGGACAGGCCGACCGCAAAGCCACATGCGGCCTAATGAACGTGCGTTGAGATCTCTCTCATGACTGCAGGAGCACACCTGTGCAATTGTCAGCGCTCAAAATTTTCAAGTTTACTCAAATAGGGCCCGTTTCCTGCTTACTGATGTAAGAAGAGGACGAGCGTGCTATATATTACGGCTCTGTGCCCGAGGCGTTCGACGGGCTCCATCCAAATGAAGCCACATGAAGCCAAAGCTGAGGGCTTTGACCTGGTGCAAGCTGGCGGGCCACCTCGCAGGCTTCCGCCAATCTGATTCAGCCTCAAGTTCATGAATTCGTGGGAGATATTATTTCATACAGTGCTGGCTGTGCACGGCGCCAGGTCGCAGATCGGGCGATGCCTGGCGCCCTCCCCATTCCCCTCATCGCGCTGGACCTCGTGGTGATTGCACAGGCCGTCCTCATCCTGCGAGCATTCCCTGGCAATCTCAGGTGCCTGTAATGTCATTTTATGTCGTACATGCGAGTCCTGGAGCCAGGCTCACCACCCCCATCACCACCGTGAAGTCATGGACTGAAACTTCAAACTGCCGGGCAACTATCCATCCCTGCACCCACCTGGTCAGGACCTGGCAGCCTCGCCTGGAGGATCTGACGCGCACTGCAGGTCTGAGTTGCTCCATCACAGATTTGTGCACTGCGAAACCTAGATTCCAGGAGAACATGTGCATTGGGTTGCCCATTCCAGCCCATGTGCTTCCCTCGAGGCCCCACAGCAGCACCTTGCCCTGCTGTTGTCTGGACCTGCCGCCGAGGTGCATGCCACTCCTTGATCCCTGTGCAGAGGGTGGCGCACACCATTCAGATGACCACTAGCTCATCCCCCTGCAGGATCCTCCCGGCGCTTGGCCAAATTTCGATGCATTGTGGGCTTCTACTCCCTAGGCCTCTCCCTCATCCAGGGTTTCTGGGCGGGGTGGGGCCTCCTGGCCAAATGGTTTACCATGTGGTATGAGCTTGGTGGGGACATGTGTGGTTGCCATGGATCCCTTGAGTTGCCGGTTGTCTGAGCAGACTGGACATGGATGCCCATGAAGAATTGGGCCCTGAGCTGGCATGCCATCATTTTTCACTCTTTCCTTCCGCATGGCAGGACGTGGTGGCTCATGACGGCCTACTTCCTCGTGGGCGCCTGGCTCAGCTGGAGAGACGTCCGGGGGGAGGCGCCGGACGGGGCGCTCCTGGCGCTCTCCTCGCGCCTGGCATTCTGGATGGTGGCTGCCTTTCACATCCTAGGGACGGTGCGTGACTGGTCCGCGAGGCGAGAGGGCGGACAGTCCAGACGAATGCGCTGGGGGGCTGCTGACCAGGTGTGATGCTCCCGCCGCCACTGCCGCTCCTCTACACGGCCTCCTGCCTCACCCAGCGGCCTCCAGCCCCGGCACAGATGGCTCTGGTGCTGACGGGGATGACGTGGACGCTGCTGCTGCCGTCGGCCTATTCACTGCCGGACGCAGCAGCACGTGCAATAGCCGTGGAGGGAATCTGCAACTTTGGCAGCTACAACCAGCATGGCATGAATGTGGTGAGGTGGGGAGTTGGTGAAGGTCGGTGCAAAAGGTTGCAGACCTGGACCTCATCTGCTCAACCACCTCATCCTCTGTGTCCTTGCCAAGGTGTTCATGCTCATTGAGGGCTGGCTGGCAGACATCCCCGTGATACCCTCCATGGCCGGCGTGGTCAGTGGCTGGGCAGCCGCCTACACCACATTTGCTGTGATCCGTTACATGATCGTCGGAAAGTGAGAGGCTTTTTGGTTGGGGAAGGGAGTTAAGATGCCATGGCATGGGCGTTGGGGTGCAAGACGTGTTGAGCAGCTGCTGCGGGGACTTCACTGTGTGGATCCGAGAGCGAAATATTGTTTGAATTCTGCCCAGCTTGAAGATGGTTACAGGTCTCACTGACATGGATTGGGATCCACCCCCACAGGTACATCTATGGAGTGCTGGCCTGCGCCCTGCCGCAGCAGTGGGCTCGCACCGCGTTTGTGTATGGACTGCACTGGCTGGCTTTTGGGACGGTCCTTGCCCTCTCCTGGATCAAAGGTCGAATTAGGAAGGGCGTCGGCTCGGAAGGTGTCCACCCTCCCGGACCAAAAGTCCCTCACGACGGCACGGCGGCTGGGGAATTGGGGAATGGCTTGAGCACGGGGCCCCGCAGGGCGAGCTCTCCAATGCCGTCTCCCTGCCGTCACAAGGACGCTTCGGGGGTCATTAGGAGGATTCGCGAGAATAGGCGTCCTGCCTGCGATCCGCATCCCCTCACTGGCCTCCACGTTGCCGCGGCACTCCAGCTGGGAAACCTCCGGACGTGCCGGAGAAGCAGTAAGTCACCAGGACAACATAGGCCGCCACATCATCGAGCGCAACCCCTAAAGCAACATTTCATGTAGCAATTTACTTGCTTTGTATCGCGCAAGGTGCAATATTGAGGGTGATTACTCCCGGAACAGATGTCACAAGACCGTCGCCCGAACTGCCCCTCGGGCCCCCACGTGCGTGAGGAAGCTCCAGGTGTAGTCCGGAGGGAGGGTGTCCACCTGGGCGGTGTCGAGAGGTTTCCGTTGGAAACAGGTTCCAACACCACCGACGGCAGGCTTTGCTTGTGAACTCACCTTCCCTCGACTGCAATACAGCGCAGGCATCGTTGATTCCTGCCCTCGCGCTGAATTTCGGCACTGCGACCAGCCCTCACCACGCTGACCGACCCTGGTCCCCTACCTTTGTGCCTCCTTGACTTGTGCCCGCTCAACCGCCACCTTGAACAATGACTGCTCGCGCTTTGGAAGTTCGCGGCCTCACGCCGAGCGTGTCGCACCAGGAGCTGTACGATCTTTTCGCGACAGTCGGCCCCATCGTCCACCTGGCCACCGCGATAGCGGCGGGCGGCAAGCAAATGGTTGCGGTGGTCATGTACAGCACTTCGACAGCCGCTGGACAGGCCCTGCAGTACCTGCAGAGCTACAGCCTGCAGCCCCCCTTCAGGCTGCACCTTCAGGCCGCGACCCCAATGGCCGTCAACTTCGTCGGCATGTCGCAGCAGTTGTTATCGGTGCGTCCGTGCCAATGCCATGCAGTGTGAGGCCTGGAGGCCGCCATCCTGCGAAGTCCCGCCGTCCGTGA